CTAATATACACCTTACTGTACACATTGGTTGGTTGGGAATTCAATCAGAGAATTTGGATATGTGTGAATTCTCAAGGATAGCTGTGTTTAAGTTTGATTACTGTTTCCAGAAGTGTGAATTAAACCATTCCCCACCCCCTCATCATTAAATATTATAAGTTCAACATGCTCCTACCATCATCCTGGTGACAGTATTATTTACCACATGCAGTTTCTGACCTGCTTATAAAGGTTCATTTCAATAGCCCAGTCTGGATACAATTAGTGCATAAATAACTGAGGCCAGATTCTTCTTTTCTACGTTAGGTCACAGTTAGCAAATCAGCTGAGGCTAGCAAGGTGATCTGTCCACTTCTGCATTCAGGGATAATATTGGGACCAGGAACACACTGAGAATGGGATGCATATCTGCACCCAAAGCAAATACTGAAAAATAGGTCCATTTATTATAGATCACTTTTTGTATTTGTCCTTTCTGGCCATTTAAAAAACATATTTGGTATTTTGCACAAAAATATGATTTAAATGTTTTTACATATCTGTGAAATTCAGTTTATTATTCAAAATGATTTAATAGGCTCTTGTAAAACAATGGCAAGGTAATTGGACTGGTGTTTTAATTTTATATGTATTCTCTTTTGTTAAGTAATTAGATGTCATGAAGAAACAGCTGATTATTAACAAAAGCTTTCAAAATAATGCTACCCTTTTTGTGATAATTGTATTTCCTCTTTAAAAATATGAATTAATCAAACTTCATATCATGCCACTCCAACATAGTCTTCTCCACAGCCCAGTTTGTTTAAATATCTTTAGTCCCATTGAAGTCAATGGTGGAATAAATTGGTTTAAATCCTTGCATATCAGCTTACCTGACTTGTGGATTAGGCTAACATTATCCTAATTTACAGCTGAGTACATTAGAGTATAAAAAGGAATTTGGCTCATCACTCTATTGCTGTTGTGAGAACTTGGCTTAGCGACTTGTACAGTATCATACTGTGTGACAAAACTGGAAAAGAGAATCTCCCACCTGAAACTGTACATTAATTCAAATTAGAGCTAATGTTATCTAGCCATATTAGAAAAAAGACAACAATGAACAGGAAGTCAACATTAGTGTGAGAAGGCATTTAGTTACTTCTTAGTGATATATTATTTTTATCCAATATTAACTTGTTTGAATTTTTAAAACATTACAAATCAAATTGGTCAAACTGTACACCCATAATTTTATACTAGTTCTTTTTGGGGCTACACTTCAGAAGATTTATGCTCGTATATTATTACATATTAAGTTAAATACATGATACAGCTAATCTATGTTAGTAAATCCTATTAAGGAAAACTATAAATGATGTTATACACTAAATTTGATATATAGATCTGAATTTGCAATTAGAATAATCAACTGCAGTCAGTTTTACAGCTTAATGATGTTGTCAAAGTAAACTTTTTTCCTTTAAAAATGAAAAATGTTAGTTTTGTATTTTAAGGTTCATTTTTGCAGCTTTGTTTCTTCAGTTTTCTTTTTCATATCTCTCTCCCTCCAAACTACCATTAACTTATCAATGTACAGCTTCTGAATATAGATGGGTTATTGTTAAACATGGACATTTAAATTTAAATTATTTCACTTTTTAAAAATGCTTGAAGCATGTAGGATAAAAATGCAGTACTTCTAATTAGATGATAAAACATCAAACATGGACTTCCAAATAAAAAATGTCAGGATTAGGTAACAAAACTCAAGAAAATAGTTCACCCTTCTAATTCAGAGGAGGAGAGCTACCCACAGGTTTCCCTACTATGGCAAGAAGGCATGAACTACAAAATGCTCCTTCTTCAGAAGTGTTTCTCCCAGACACTAGAGAAGCCAGAAGCATCTTGCATATAAACCCAGTTAGTTTCTCACAGATAAGCCCAGTTAGTCAAGCTCTCTTGGAGACATTGAGCTAGCTGAGATGTCAGGCAGCTCAGACACACCAGAGGACATACTGCAGCAGCTCATGGGAAGAGCCTAGGCCCTGCCATACTTCCAACCACAAGCTTATCTGCGCCCCCCATATTTTATTCAAGTTGGCACCCTTGCTTACATGCATGATCCTTCAAATGCAGTGATCTGCATCTCCACCCCCAGTTATCCAGTGTGCCATTTTAAAAATGTTTCACTGTGTGTAATCTTGCTCTTTGGGAAACGTGGTATGGACCTTTTTTGTACACCTTACCCCACTAAGTTGACTGAAAGCCTGGACAAGCTGTGGTCACCACAGTGAACACCCTTGGACCAGGGATGGACTTTGGTCTTTCAAATTTCAGTGGTACCCTGTGTGAAGCCAAAATTTGGCACCTCCTGCCTCTCGTCTTCCATTCTGATAAATTCACTACACCATAGTTCTGACAACCTGCAGCACTCACTAGGCATGGCACTCAATGTGGTAGAACTGGTTGCACCATCTGAAACCTGCTTCTGCTTAGAGGACTTCATGGACCCAAATAAACACTCTTGTTGTTAAGTACCCATTACGAGAGGCTGCAATTGGAGGAAGAAGCCCACCAGCCATACATAAGGCAAGACCAGGCCTGCCCCAACTTTGTGGGTATTATCAAACCTGCATCTCTAGACCTGTCACTCCTCCACTCTGGAAAAAACTTGTACACCATGCTGCATACTAGTAATTCGTTGCAACCCAGCCGCATTTCCCAGTAATGATGTAAACTGCTTCACTGTTTATATCTTAGCTTATAACTTCAGAAATTTTTCTATTATACTGTAGCCACAATAATCTTCTCATGCAAGACAAATATCTCTATTCATGTAGAAACCTGTAGAAATGTGCCTTTTATCCTACCTCTTTTACTTGGGAGGGTCCTCTATAGATAAACAGATCAACCCTCTTCCAAATAGCCATGCTAACTAGATACAAGATCAAAAAGCTGAGAGGAAGATTATATCTGTAGTTTAATTACAAACTATCAAAGTATTCAAATGTCCATAATCAATTACATATTCATAGAGCAAACAAACCAGAAAAATCCATGTTAGATACATTTTTTCTAGTCATCTTTCATAATAATGCAATGTATTAAAAAAGTTACAGAGCTTGTTACTATAATTTTTTAATCACCATATATTTTACACACTTCTATTGGAGCTTTAATTATTGTACAAAATAAATTTATTATTTGTTTGTAAAGATGAAGATTTTGAATCACAGTTGTTTTTCATTGAGAATGTCAAATGTATATTATTATAAGGAATTAATCAAGTTCAAGGACAAAGATGTGTATGTATAGAAACATTTTATGATTATATTATTGTTAATAGGTATGTTATTAAACTAATTGTAATATTTAGTAATAGATTTTTCTGCAATGTTTCAAAGGTACTACCATCTGACTTTTCGCTTAAAGTCCTCATATGCACAGATAGACAAATTAGAATTAAACCTATACTGCATAAAACAATAGAACCTATTTCATAAGGATATGGAGAAGATCTTCACAATTCACTTATAACTGTTGTTGAAATAAAGGCTGAGATAGTAATTAAGCAAATAGAACAACAAGCTATCCTTAAGGTACAACATGATAGCAAAGAAATTGCAAAAACTGAAGCCAAGTTTAAGGGCATTGACACACTTAAGTAGTGGGCTACCCTGCTTGGATGGAATGAAAATACATCTGTAGTTCTTACTACAATAGCACTGCCTAAAATGATCTTGGCATAGCCACAAGTAGCAATAGAAATAGTATATATCTAATTAGCTGTATAAAATCAAGCAATGTGATCCTAAATACCACATGACCTAAGCACCATCCACACAAGATTAAAACAACATTTCTTGATGAACATATCTGAGGTAGGAGTTTCACAACCAGGGTGCCAGTACAGAAAAGGTCTATCTCTAGTAGTAATCCATTTCACTACTGAAGGTGGAGCCACCTGGAGTGGAGCATGCTATGAAGACCTTAACAATTGAGCAGGTTCATACTGAAGCAGATACTCTTTAAGATATCCCACTTTAATTGTATCCATAAAAACACTGGCAGCACTTGTGAGAAGCAAATTGTTCTATCCACCCACTTAATAGTCTAGCTGCTGTACTTGGCAGCACTTGAAATTTCTGATCAATCTTCATCAGCAGCTGATATATAATGCATTGCAATACTTTAACCTTGATGTTATCAAAACATGGATAATTATGATATGATCATGTTTTTCCAGAAGTGACTGCAGCTGGCTCATCAGTTCATGCTGGTAGAAGGCACTTTTTGACCAGATCATGCCACTTAGCTTGGGCATCCGTCTGCAATGCATTCTCCAAGCTGCAGACTTCCATTAGGGGGGATGCACCCACATTAACAAGCAGAAAGTTTCTACTAGAAACCCAGTAACCTGAGCAACTGAACTGCCTTTCAACATTTTGTTTCAACTGGGCTTAAGTTTATTAGGCCACTTCATTACTTACTTGTGGTTCTGGACTTAGATTAACTGTTTCAGTTTCCCAAAGACAAATCCAATTTTCTGATACAGTGGTACCTCGTGTTACAAACTTAATTCGTTCCGGAGGTCCGTTCTTAATCTGAAACTGTTCTAAACCTGAGGTGCGCTTTCGCTAATGGGGACTCCCGCTGCTGCCATGCTGCTGGCATGTGATTTCCATTCTCACCCTGGGGCAAAGTTCTCAATCCGAGGTACTACTTCCAGGTTTGCGGAATTTGTAACCCGAAGTGTTTGTAACCTGAAGCGTTTGTAACACGAGGTACCACTGCATTTGTTCCTTGTAAATCAGTATCCATACTTTTTACTTTTTTGGAATCTCCAGGTAGGACTGGGAAAGATTCTGGTCTGAAACGCCGGAGAATCACTGCCAGTCCCACTGAACTAGAGGGACTAAGGCAGGAGTCAGCAAACTTTTTCTTTTCTTTTCTTTTTGAATAATTTTTATTGAATGGTTTTATGTTACAAAAAACAATACAGCCATAGTACCACTAAAGGATGTGAGGGTGATCTGGCTGCGACATCTGTCACCCCATTGATCGCTAGGGTTGATTCGGCTGATCTGGCTGTCTAGGCGGGTGTCCCCTTCCTCCCTCACCACTCCATGTGCGTCCCTCCCGAAGCTGCGTGCTCGGTGGAAGAGGACGACCATCCCAGATAGGAGTGTACCATTCTTCTGTCAAGGGTATACAATAGCTGCACTCCCCTGCTAGAACCTCCAAAATAAGCTCAAGGGGTCAGCAAACTTTTTCAGCAGGGGGCCGGTCCACTGTCCCTCAGACCTTGTGGTGGGCCAGACTATATCTTGATGGAAAAAAAAGAACGAATTCCTATGCCCCACAAATAACCCAGAGATGCATTTTAAATAAAAGCACACATTATACTCATGTAAAAACACTAGGCAGGCCCCACAAATAACCCAGAGATGCATTTTAAATAAAAGGACACATTCTACTCATGTAAAAACATGCTGATTCCCGGACTGTCCGCGGGCCAGCTTGAGAAGGCAATTTGGCTGGATCTGGCCCCCGGGCCTTAGTTTGCCTACCCATGGACTAAGGTGTGACTTGGTATAAGGCAGTTTCCTGAGTTCCAAGCCTATGTACACTTGCAGATACTCCCAGGCATGCATGCATAAAAGTCCCATTGAATACACTGGGACACACAACTGAGCAGAAATGCATTGGGTTGGACTGAATGGTCATTTTTGATTGGCTACTGACATCAGTCTCTCCACTGTGAGACTGAAGTTTGCACTAACCATTCTACAGTGCAATTATTTTGTTTGATTTTACTTTTATTTGGGGTCTATAGGGTGTAACGGGAGGGGTAGTATCTCTAGTGGGGGACACACCATGCTCCTCCTGAGCTAGTTTGTCCACATTTGGTCTCCCCACCCTACACTCAGTCCTCACCTGCGGCTCCTAGAAGCTATCAGCATGCGACAGTGGCCAAACCCTGGGAAAAAGCTTTGATTGGCTGGCTAAACCAGGTGAGGGTAGCTGATGGGTCTCAAACTCCCAATGAGTTAGGGTCTTCCCCTGCATACAAAGACAGGCTCCAGCAGATTGAGCAGGCAAGACCAATGGTCCAATGGTCAAGAAGGAGGTTTATGTGTTGTAGAAGGAAGTGAGGGGCAGATGGGGCTCATCAACCTGGGAAGGTAGCTCATCTGGAAAAGGAAAGTTCTGATCTTAAACATCCGCTGCTTTGCAGGATATATTCGGGAGAAGAGAAGACTAAGAAGTAAACCCTACACAAATCTGGAGTAGAGTCCCTAAGACAGTTGGGTGACGCCATGTAAGTCTTATTCTAGGAACTCCTGCAGCCAAGTTGGTGCCAAATGTATTGCTCTGATTTCCTTTGGATCATATCAGCAAGGCCAAGAAGGGGGTCTTGTCATCTGGGCATCGCAGCACCTCCATACACACTGTCCAGGCTTGCTCCCCGGGGAAGTCACTTTGGTGCTGCTAATGCAGCAGCATGACTTCACCCCCAGAAGCGCACTCCATTGTCTCTCAAGACAGATGGATGCTGACAACAACTTTTATTTGCAGATTTATATACAGCTTCACAAACAAAAGCTACCAGGAGCAGCATACAAGAAGATAAAATACCAAATATTACAGGCCAAGGAAACCAAAAGCAATAAAAGCATTTTTGCAACTATACAGTTAATATTCCAAAAAATGACCATACCACACCTCAGGGAAAGCCTTCTTAAACATAAGATGTTCTCAATAGCCACCTAAATATCCATATACCTTTTAAAAGAGGAAACAGTGGTGGTGAGAGAGAGAGAACAAGAGAGTGGATGAAAACTGGGGTATTTCTAGTATACAAGAGTGTCCCTGATTTCACCTATGAAATATTGAGTTTGTCCAGGCGTTAGTTAGTGATGCTTTTCTTTTTAATCTAGAATGGCGACCACCCTCCTTAGCCCACTTTCTCTTCCCCAGTCCCATTTTCTCTCCCACAAAGATAGGAAAAAAGGGAAGCACGGAAAGCAGAACAATTGTATTTCAATTCAAAAATTAATCTAACTTACCCTGCCTTCATGCCGTCATCTTCCTGAATCCGCTCATTCTGGTGCCAGGGTCAGCCATGGGTCCATTCCTTGCCTCACAACACAGCGCCCTCAGAGTCCTCTGTGTAAAATCCTGTCACATAATCGCTTCTTCCATCTCTCCTTTGCATTGTCGTCCTCCTCACACGTATGGCCTCTCCCACTCTCTTTTATGCTTTATCTGTTTCTCCCGGCCCTTCCCTCACGCTCCCTCCATTTCCCCTACATTTGTGCAACCAGCTACTTCATAGACGAAGAGGAAGTCTGAGGTAAAATGAGAAACAAACTGTCATTCCCCCCCATACATGCGTTGTGTATAAATAGTACAGCTGATGGCGTTTGACAGTTGAGGTGTGTATGTTTTTAGGAATCACTTTTTCTTACGATTGTAGGCTGTTTAAAATTGTTTTTAATATGGTGTTTTAATGCTGCAACCCCGCCCTGGAACCTTAGGGCGAAGGGCAGCTAACAAATGAACCAATGAACGAACAAAATTATATCTATATCTATATCTATATCTATATCTATATCTATATCTATATCTATATCTATATGTGAGGGGGACATTTATCAGTAACACCCATGTAAGGCCCTTCTAATGTGAACATACACAGCTTTTTCTATGCAGCTGTAGGAGTCTAGAATGTTCAGCCCAGGCAACCTGGGGAAATTGCCATGGCAACCAACTGCCACAGGTGGTTGGCAGTTAGGTAGCATTAAGGCCCAGGGAACCTACTGGGTTGCAGGCCTTTCTAAAGAGCCAAGGAAGTCAAATGGACTGTTCTCTCTCTCTCTCTCTCTCTCTCTCTCTCTCTCTCTCACACACACACACACACACACACACACACACACACACACACACTTCGGCTCTATCTCCCTGACCAAACAGGAGAATTCCTGCCACATATTTTCTTTTTCCTCATTGTCCAGTGTAGCCTTCCAAATTGTGTATGGGACAAGGCTTTGTAGCGGGGTTTCAACACTTGATCGGTGAGATTAAATAACTGCAAAACCATGTATGAAAAGGCGACCCCATTTGATCCAGCTTTTTTTTTTTTTTTTAAGTGTAGATGCACTTTGTAAAAAAAATTCTGCACTTGAAGTATGCTACTGATGGTGCTTTTTGACAAGGAAATACTGCTGTAGTCATTAGGTATACTTTTTATAGTTGCACCTGTGATTAATAGATAATGTTATTTCACTTGCATATGGTACTTGCAGGAGTTGTGAATAACTGGACACGCCTATTATGTTATTGCTTATTATTATGAATTGAATTCACACAACTGTTTCTCTTGCTGATGTTGATCTTCATGTGCATTGTGTTGTTTATTATGTTACTATGTTGTAAGCTGCCCTGTGTCCTTTTGACAAATGGTGGTATATGCAATTTTTAAAGAAATAAAATTAATAAAAATCAATACAAAAAAAATCTTTTGATAGCCAGCGCTGTCTTAGAAGAGGTTTATAACGTCGCTCTACCTGCTAGTAACTCACCACTTCTTCCTGGCATTGACAAGCTGATTTCTTTCTTGTACCTTTTCTCTGTATTTCCTTTTCCTTGTTGCTCTTATTCTTTTCTGTTCTCAGTCTGAGAGGAGGAGATATGAGTTGAGTTCATTTTTGGAAAATAAAATAATACCCTACCCTTTAGTCAAAAGGCTCTTACAGCGGCTTACAAACCTAAGTTCTAGGACAGTCACATCTTGTAATCTAAAAAACACACAACACACAAGGAAAATGGAATGGGAGGGAGGAGGAAAAAGCAAGCTCAAGCACAAGTTCTTCAAGTTACAGTTAAAGTTACAACCAATGTAAGTGGTGGTTCTGGCTATCTTGCCCCAGATAAAGAGCAGTCCCTCCTCTGAAGCACTCTTCCTTCCAGATGGGATGCAGGAACACAGCTGGTAACAACACCCAGGCCAGGAGAACAGAGCAGCTCCTGCCCGACAACTCTTCTGTCAAACCTATGATATGAGTTGTTTTGGGATACATTATTCATCTGAAAAGCATAATAATAATAAAACTATTGGAACTATTGTTTTTATTTAGATAGACGTGTGATCAATTAACAAATTGTGTCTCCGGGGCCACTTCTCCTGTTAATCAGAACCCATCTGTTCTGCTTTGACCGTTTTCCTATTTTATCATGACTCACTCCTTTTACGTCACATATTTCAAAAAGTCAGCTCTAAATGCTGTCTAAAAACCTTTGATGTAGCTAGGTGCCAGAACTGGAAAGGCCCCACTGCTTAGAGATACGTACTGGACTTCAATTCGGGAAAATATGAAATGCAGCCTCAGATTTCTGAATGAAGTGCTCAGGGACCACCAGAGGGGGAAATAAAGCACTGGGCAGAAGCTTATTAAGATAACAAATTGTGCTTCAGCCTGTTTGATTTTATTATAATTTTGTTGTTGACAATCTTTGAATTGTATTTTGATTTATTATACTGTGATACTGATGTTTGGGTTCTTTGAAAGACAGAAAAGAAGGATATCATCATCATCCTTTCAGCTGTTAAAGGCCTTCTCCTCCATCTTCATCTTTTCCTGCTCCCTCTGTGTCTTTGGTAAGTGCCCTGACAGCAAAGGTCCCTTGTCAGAAACAAGCCAATTGAAGAGGGAACAGAGCCACCTTCAGAAAGCAGACTTGTGCATCTCAAAGCCTGCTGTTTTTCCTTTCTTGGCCTCCTGCAATTGTAAAAACCCTGTAAATTAGGAGAGTTTGTGCCTGTTGGCCAAGGGTAGCCTCCTGGCTTGTTTTCCTTTGTAAACAAACAAACTGGCTTGACCTTTTGCATACCCTGAAAAGTTTTCAAAGATTAATTAGCTCCACACTAGATATTTAGATATTTTAAATGGGCATAAATTTGCATGCATTAACAAATGAGCAACAACTGTATGAATGAATAAAATGACTGAATGAATTTTCAGTGTCAGACAAAATGTGTTATGCAGCACTGTATTCAAAGGATTCAATTCAGCTGAATGGGCTGGATAGAGTCTACTGGCGGGCAGTCTGAAATTCTGATGTAGCCTGTATAGTTGTAATGAGGAAGCATGAACTTTGCCTCTTCACTAAAATAATGAGTATATTTTTGGTGGTGGAGGGTGGGGCACAATTGCATGTGTACTTAAGAGCCATGACATTGCTAGATAGGGCAGAGCCAAGGTTGGTTGGCAGAGATTATACCAGTAGTTGCATCATATCGGCACCAACAGAATCACTATAAATGATATCATTCAAAAACAAGCAAGGTAAAAGGAACTTTAACCAAAGTTTGGAAATTTCAGCTTCTGTTGAGAGGTTAGCAAGAGAGTACAGTGGTACCTCGGGTTACAGACGTTTCAGGTTACAGACTCCGCTAACCCAGAAATAGTACCTTGGGTTAAGAACTTTGCTTCAGGATGAGAACAGAAATCGTGCTCTGGTGGCGAGGCAGCAGCGGGAGGCCCCCTTAGCGAAAGTGGAACCTCAGGTTAAGAACAGTTTCAGGTTAAGAACGGACCTCCTGCTAGCGTCTTGACCTCTTTACAATTCTTCTTTAAATATTCAATAAATTTACTCCAGTTATTTTGGTATCTTTGATCTCCCTGGTCCTGGATCCTCCCTGACAGTTTGGCAAGTTCTGCATATTCTGTCAACTTCGCCTGCCACTCCTGTATAGTTGGTATATCTTGTACTTTCCATCTTTGGGCCAGAAGGGTCCTCGCGGCAGCTGTAGCATACATGAACAAATTTTGATCTTTTATTTTAATTTCTCTTCCTATTAAGCTTAATAGACACGCTTCCGGTCTTTTGGGGAAAGTATATCTAAATACTTTTTTGAGTTCATTATAAATTGATTCCCAAATTTTTTTTACCTTATCGCAGGTCCACCACATATGGAAATAGTCCCCATCTGCCTTTTTGCATTTCCAACACTTTCTTTCTTTTTTCCTATACATTTTAGCTAATTTTACTGGCGTCAAATGCCATCTATACACCATTTTTAGCAAGTTTTCCTTTAAAGCCATGCATCCTGTGAATCTCAAACCCTCCTTCCATAATCTTTTCCACACATCCAATTCAATGTTATGCCCAATATCAACTGCCCATTTTATCATTGATTCCTTTACTTCTTCGTCTTTTGTATACCATTCTAGCAATAAACTATACATTCTTGATAAAATTTTATCTTTACAGTCTATTAACTCGATTTGGAATTTCGATTTTTTATCTTCGAACCCATTTCTCTTTTTGTCTTCCTTTAATAAGTCACTGATCTGATGGTATTGCAGCCACCCTGTTAACATCTTTTCAGTTTGGTCATACGGTTTGAGCTTTATCCCTTGGACTGTTTTCCTAGTAATATCCTCATATGTTACTCTTTCCCCTTCCATGTTTACTTTTTTTGTTGTCAGCACCTCAATTGGTGATATCCACCACGGTGTCTTTCTTTCCAGGAGGTTTTTATTCCGATCCCATACTTCATATAAAGATTTCCTAATCACATGGTTTAGAAAACCTTTATGTACCTTTACTTTGTTGTACCATAGGTACGAATGCCAACCATATCTATTGACGTGGCCCTCTAGATCTAATAGGTCAGTGTTTTCTAAAGTCAGCCAGTCTTTTAACCATACCAAGCACGAAGCTTCATAATATAAAGTCAGTTATCCTAGTGCTCTGCAAGATGTTGTCAGATCTCTGGAAGGCAGGAAGCAAGCAGACTAGGGAGCAAGGAATTGGGTCAAATATTATTCCAAGCTTTTATTTATTTATTTATTTATTTATTTATCTATTAAGATAATTTGCAGAAGCCACAGGGCAGTTTCTAACAGGCACATTGTTTTTTTTAAAACCTCACAAAATAACCCAATCCTTAAAAACACATAAACAAATCACTAAACATAGTTATTAATGGCAGTGGTGGCAGCAATATGGTCTCTTCTCCCCCTACACCTGCTGGAAAAGATTACCATAATCTTAACTAGCTGACTAAAGCTATAAAGAGACAAGGCCAAATGCATCATAATTCCACATATTCCATTTATATTATGTCCTTCTTTCAAGGAGCTCAGGGCAACACACATAGTTCTTCCTTTACCCCTCATTTTATCCTCTAACAGCTCTGGCTCAGCCCAGCCCAGTAAACTTTGTTGATGAATTAGATCAGGGGTCAGCAACCTTTTTCAGCCGTGGGCTGGTCCACCGTCCCTCAGACCATTTTGAAAAACACACACACAAAAACGAATTCCTTTGCCCCACAAATAACCCAGAGATGCATTTTAAATAAAAGGACACATTCTACTCATGTAAAAAAAATGCTGATTCCCTGGCTGTCCGTGGGCCAGATTGAGAAGGCGATTGGGCCGCATCTGGCCCCCAGGCCTTAGGTTGTCTACCCCTGAATTAAACTGAACCCAAGTCACACTTGGCCAATGTTTTAACCCATGCATTATTGCCCTTCAGGTTTTATGGGAGTTCCATTAGCTCCAGCCAGCATGGCCAATGGTTAGGGATTGTAATCCAACAGCCTAGTCTAGAGGGATGCAAGTTGGCATTTCCGTTCTAACCAATATACCATACTGGCTTTTTAAACTTTCCCTTATATCTCTTTTACTTCTGGAGTTAGAAACTTACTTTTTATGTTTAATGGAAGATGGAACATTCAGGAATGTTCCCTCCTCCTTCCCCGAGGCTACAGCCTTGTTCAAATGATCAGTTATAATTCATAGTAAAAACGCTTTCTCACTTGGAAGCTACTGCCAGATGACAAGGATGAGGATCATCTGAAACCCCTCCCAACTGAAGTGTGTGTAAATATAATGCAGGATTTATGGGTCTACACTGGCACTTCCCAACCCACGGCTTTGATCTATCTCTGCCTATAATTCATTCGCACCAGTTTCTACATTTATAAAAAAAAAGTTCTTGGCAATAATATTCCATCTGTCGGTTTCATAAAGGTACAGTAGTAGCCATGATTAAATGCAGTCCTGTAGCTGCTGTCTCATCAGAGCCACACTCAGCGGAACTTACTATTTCCGTGCTCTGCACTGTGATGTTGGTAGCCTAAAATCAAATTAATTTCTTTTCCTCCCCTGCTCACATTTCAAGGCAAACTCATGTCTGAGGTAGCCTTCACTATCATCCCTAGATCTTTACCAGCAGTACTGCATCTCCATGTTTATTATTAGCATTATCACAGATTGAAAACGTGGTTTTAGATTATTATTTTCATGTTATCCCCCCACTCCCCCTAACCAGAATCTAATTTCCCCCCATCTCTTCATATTCTCAGTCTCTTTGAAGTATATTAACATTTCCCTCCTCTAGTATCAGTGATGCCTGGAATTTTTTTCCATTTGGTATTGTCTGTTTCATTAACAGTAATTATTTACTTCCTCCTTGGCTGAATAAACAGGAATAAGCAAGAAGAGAGGTCTCACGTGCAACACTGCCCAGTGTGGTACCCTGGGCAAAGAAAATGGGGCAGATACATCTGCTGTCAGCTTAGAGATGATTAACACATTTTTGAAGAGGTTCCCCCTTTGAACAGAGAAACTGAACTGTGTGGAATTTGTCTCTTTTCCAAAACTATGATTTTGTGATTCTCTCTTACAATCACTATAAAACAATTCATTGATATCATATATAGGCTGCCTTTTTGGGCATAGCCCAGCCAAAAAGGTATATAATGTATCTACACACACACACACACACACACACACACACACGAAAAAAAAAATGGCAGCAGCATTCACAATAATTTAAAACAGAAGTCAGTTAAAACAATTTAAAAAAAAAAAAAAAGCAGACACGAATATAAATCACAGCACAGCTAACTTCCTAACAGAATAGCTCAGTTAGGGGGGCGGGGTGGGGCAGAACCTCAATTAGTTAAGTATTTTTAATGATTTACTTGATCTAGGAGGGGTGGGGCAGCCATGGCCCATGGCCCAGTTTAGGAGAAAATGAGTCTGAAAAAGGTGGGTTTTCAGGCCCATTAAAAAACCCTTTGGATGTTATGGACTACAATTTCCATCAACCCCGGCCTGCTCAACTATGTGGGCAGGAGCTGTTGATAGTTGTAGCCCAAAACACCTGAAGGGCACCTCTGTGAGGAGTGAGTTCCACAATCTGGGATTTCCACATAAAAGGCCCTGTCTCCTGGGCCCACCAGCTGTATTTACCTAATCACTGGGCATGCATGTGGGCTTTTGAGGCAGACCTTAATACCCAACTCAGGCTCCTATGCATGTAGGCAGTCCTTCAAACAGCACTTTAAATGCCCTGTGCTCTCTTAAGATGGCTCATAGTGGATGTGGAAATGAGAGGTACATATTGTGTCCCTTTCCAAACACTGCAGCACCCTTACTTGCTGTTGCTGTACACCTCCGTGGCTGGAAGTCTTTTCATCGTTCCCCTTGGCTCAAACAGAAGAACCTTCTTCCAGAAGAGAGCCTTGCGGCTTTGTGTTTCCCCAGTCCATGAAAGTGATAAGCGATTTCACTCTAAAACGACCAAGCTCTCTATTCCTTCTCTGTGTCTCCTGCCCACTTCTGCCTGGCTACTGTCCCTATCCAGAATACCTGGGTTGGCCACCTCCACCCTTCTCCTTGGCTCCTCGGGTCCTTTTAACAGTGCTGCACTCCTTCTTGTAAGTGGATAATGTACCCGTTCCCCAACTTCACCCTTACTGATATTAGGAGGATCTGACCTTGCTCCCAGGTCAGGCCCTTCTCCCTATTCATCCATGGGATGCTTTTTTCAGGCAGCAATGGCTAGAAAATGCCCCTCAGCTGCAAAAGTAGTTTATCTGGAAGTAGGGAGTGTGGCGTTTGCCCGTTCGTTTGAAAATGTCTGTACAGGGGAGAGAGAAAGGGTTAAAATGTAGACCAATAGGAAAGCTGGAGGCGGAGCCTACCTGTTTATAAAAGGGCTTAGCCCGAGATTTGAGTTAGTTGTTGGTGGTTAGTTGGTTGGTTTTAGTGGGTTGGTTGGTTGGGAAAGGCAGTTGGAAAAGCAGTTGGCAGGCAGTTGGAAACAGAGAGACAGTTAGGGTAGTGGGTTGTTGTGTGAGGGGAGGTAGAAGAGTTAGAGACAGGATAAAAATAAGACTAAGAAGGTAAAGAGTAACAACGTTTTGAATGCAGTCAAAGTTTATTTGTGTCTGCAGTAAACTACACTTTTCTTCGTTAACTTGAGAACCTGACTGAGACTAAGTGATTTACCGGGGAAGACCTGGTTGGTGGCAGCGGATTAGTGGTGTACAGGTCAATAGTCCGTGAGACGACCGGGGGCTCTGTACGAACGCCACAGGGAGAAATGGGTTCATCAAATCATTGAGTTGGAAGGGACCCCAAGAGTCATCTAGTCCAACTTCCTGCAATGCAGGAATCTCAGCCAAACCATACATGACAGATGGCCCTCCAACCTTTGCTTAAAAACCTCCAAGGAAGGAGAGTCGACCACTTCCTGAGGGAGTCCATTTCACTTTCAAACAGCTTGCACTGTCAGAAAGTTTTTCCTGATGTTTAGTCGGAATCTCCTTTCTTGTAAGCTCCCTTGATCTGACAGAGTTTCGTCATTCTGCAGCTCTTCAGGCCATAATGGCAATGCCTTGCATAATACAATAATCCACAGTCAGTTATATAGTGGCAAGAATATGAGCAACTGTAAAATAAGGAATTTTGTGTAGAAATCCATATATCTATATCTATCTATGCATCTGGATGTTGTTATCAATAGATATTACATACTGTAGTAATATTTTTCTGGGATATTCATACATTTGACAGGAATATGAACTTTGCAAACATGCCCTGCTTCTATCCAGTCAGCAGCAACATCACTGGGGCTTGCACAGAAGTGGTGCTCACTGGACTGTCCTCACCCAAAGCAAGCTTTGCGTTCAGTAAATTCAAAGCATTTTCCTTGGCGGCTGGTTTCTTACTCTTACATCCATCCAAGCAGGTGACAAAAAATCGGCAATTTGACCTAGCTGTTCAGTGACAACCATCGAGCACAGCCTGCTTTTTGAATAATAAACTCTGCTCAACAACACATACATAGTTTAACTATTATTCACAGGAATTAACTGGAAAGTAATTTTGAATAATGAATATATGAGAGACAGTTTCCCTTGCAATTGCCACGCATATGATCTGAAAATGCGAAATGGGCTGAATACACAAACTGAGTATTCCTGTTAAACCAAACACACAAATCATCATTATCATCAATCGTCTTGATTTCTTCCAGTTCCAACTGCAATACTTGATTTTTACAGCTAAAGCCCAAAGTTCCCTAGTTTGGCCTTTTCAGGATTAATTAAAGAAAATCAAAATTCTCAGATCTTTAAACAGTCCCTTATGAAATTGGGCTGGCCAGCTCCATTTTTAAAAAGAACTGCCGCTTAATTATATTTGTTTAAAAAATCCTTTCTGCCACTCACATATTAGACAGCAACCCTCATACTCAATCATTTAATTTCAGCAAGTACTCATACATACATAGTAAGGATGTATGTTTAGAACTACCTCTTGTATTTTGGACAATACTTGTCAAAACTTGATTGTTTTATACCTAAACATTAAAGACAGCAATTCTCATATACAATAAGTTCATTTCATCTATCTAGATATCTAGAAATACACATCCACAAAATATAAGAATCCATATTTAGAATTACCTTTTGTTCTTTGGACAATGCCTTTTGATAACTTACTTTTAATAAACTTGAACATTAAGGCAAGTAGTATTACTGTTGCCTACAGATTTCTCATTTGACTGAAATATGCTGCTTCTACCCTTTTTTTGTTGAACTACATCTGATTTTTATCATCAGCATCCACCAAAGGGAAATTTTTTTTTTAATGTTATTCTCAACTTTGATGGTTTAATCCCTTACTTTCAGAAATCACTGTGATTTAAAACATTATACTGTTTTTATAGACACTCTTTTCTTTAAATGTATTTTTATTAAAGATTTTTTATTTTATTTACAAAAGTATGTGCAATGTCTCTCTCTCGTATTTTTTCCATGTAACATTTTTACAAATCAGTTTCATTTGTTGAGACATTAGGAAGAAAAGGGGGAAAGGGGTGGAGGGGGAAAAAGATGGGTGGGGTCGGGTGGCGATGTTTCTATTTTACTTAATATATGTAGGGTTTGGTGTCAGCGTTGCTTGTGCAGGTTCTCTGCTGTTCACTTGTGTTCCTTTGGTGGTGAGAGAGGTTGGGGTTGGCTTAGGGTGTGGTTGTTCATTTGTGGTTGGCTGTGGTGGTTTAATAGACACTCTTATGGGTTGTTACAGTTCCATGGATAATATGGAAAATGCTTCCACCATGAGCATGATCAACACCATTCTCTCACCCACAGAATCTCTATGCTGATTTTTATCAGTACAGAATTTGGCCTGGAGTTGCAAATCTCATTCCTATAGATTTTTATATACTTCTGTCTTTGCTTCCCCCCCAACCCCACCATCAGCCTGGCACTGCAAAACACCATGAAGTAGATTTCACTGATTTTAATAGAACTTGCCTCCATAGATGCGGGCTTAGGATCACAACCTTGCAACACAGTTAATGGGACTTACCGTACTTTAATTGTTTAGGACTGGAGTGCCCTCCTTGCAGATCCAGCAACAAGAGGAGATCCCCTAATGTACAAAATAGCTAAAGCCTTTGATGCCCGTAGACAAGATTTATCCAGTTCATGGTCCCCAACATGTTTTGAACTCTGAGTTCATCAGAAGAAAAACTTATCATGAAAATAAATTGTATAATTGCTAGAAAGTTTAGCAACTTTGTGCTGCAGTTCTTGACTGAATAAGTCTTTTGTATATCCATATACATCTTTTGCTCTTTTGGCCACTCTTATTGGGCCATAATTTCTTAATGCATTAAAAAAAAAGGAAAAGGAAAAGGAAATGCCAGGTTGTTATAGAGCCAATTTAATAGTTAATATTTAGATTTCCATTTACAAACCACGACTGACACATTTACTGATTTTGGAAATTGTGTTATTAGTCAATCAGGGAGCTGTGAATGGCACTCTCCAATGACTGCCATTCAAGTGCCAGTCTCAGCCTTTTGCTTCCTTATTGCGGTGACCGTCTGTTGCACCTTCCTTCCCGCTGCTCAGGCTCAAAAATTAGATTGGACACAATGGTTTTTCTAAAGGTAGCCATTGCACTGAACTAACTCTGGCCCTTCTCGAAAATTTGACTCTTTGTGGACTCCCTGCATATCTTGCTAATATTATTCATGCTCATTTTAGACCCATTTAGCCATGTCACAAGTTGTTTGATGTGCTTTGAAACTGATGGCCAAGAAGAGCTTCTGCTGGCAGAGATCGCTTGGGCTCCAACGACCTGAATGGAGTTCTGCTATTTTACACTAGAGCTGGCCAAGTAAGCCCAGTCGAGTCCTTGCTATAGTTCAGCTTTGTCATCTCACCAGCCTAGTGTTCCTGGCGCTTTTCATCTGAAAGGGCTTTGCTTTGCCCTGCACTCCCCCCACCTCCCCGTCACTGGCCTGCTTTTATGCCACTACAGTTTGCCGGAACATTTGTTCATACTCAATAGCCAAACATCAGGAATGCTGAGATTCTTTCCTTCTTGTCAGGACAATTGTTTAGACTGTTTGCCACTTAACGCTCTGATGATCTCTCTCTCTCTCCCTCTCCTCTCTGTGCTGCCTATAATTCCTCCTTTCCCCTCTTAGCCCTTCAACTCTTCCTCATTGGCTGAGTCACCCACCAACTCCCTCTTTTGACTTACTCTTTGGTGAGACCATCCTCTGCATTTCCAGCAGTTTTCTTGTCGTTTGGTGTGTGTGTGTGTGTTTCCCCCCTTGTCGTTTTTCTGCTTGGTGGTGTCTGGAGCATTGCCGTCGAGAGCTGGTGTTGTACTATGGGTTACTTCATTATTGACTTCCAGTCCTCCTGGACTTCTATTTTATTTCATCTCAGCATTGGCACCATATGGCAGCTATGGCAACTGAATATATCACTGTATTCACTTTCTGGTTCTGGTCTGAATTGCTGAAGGGCTCCACTCCCTGGCCTGGAAAAAAATGTAGCTGTAGCTTATGTAAGAGGAGCCAAGCCAGAACTATGGAGAGACTAAATTCACACTTGCATTTTATTTATCAAACACATAATATGGAAACCCAAGAAACAAATCTATTTGCCAAGAATTCTGAGAGCACATACCAAGAAATGGAGGCCTGGTAATGAAATAAAAAAGGAAGCCCACTATGCCTGCATGCCTATCTGTTGATCTATCTATCTATCTATCTATCTATCTATCATCTATCTATTTATCTATCTATCTATCTATCTATCTATATCTATCAATCATAATCTATCATACTTTATTGACTTTGAACTCAACATTTGTTGTTGGAAAAGCTGTGTTCTATAAATCTCATGGTCTACCTAAGCCAACTCACATTCTTATAATAAATAGAATCCCTTATTCTACATCTCTACTATCATAACAGATAAGGCATTTTGCTAACATAGGGGAGCTGTGAAGTGCCAATGTGGATGTGAGGTGGATTAATTTCAGAGTGTTTGTCCTCACTTATACAGAGACAGAGATGCCCAAGTTGTTTCTACCATATGGAAGATCACCCACACCACCCCTTGTATTTGATCACAGGTCATAGTATCACACTTAACAGAAATTAAAATGTTGTACACACCAGATACCAGACTCATGGTGATCAGGTTTTCGAACTGTTACAAGTTCTGATGGCCTGTGGAGTATGTGCCTTGTGGCAAAATGGTGCATTTGGAACCAGTTTTCTTTCAAGCCTTGCAGTCATGCAGAAAGATTTCATCAGCTATTTTCAAATAAATCTCTTAGGCTGCAGTCATATTGCAGACTTATTGAAGAGTAAGTCCCTACTGCTTATATGGGAATAGACATTGGTTTTTTACATGAGGGAATATGAAGCCTCATCACTCTCAGGGGATCATGCTATTCATCAGCTGGATGCCCTATCTTTTGAAATTTTAAAGATTTTTTTTAAAAGAAGAAAAGAGCATGAAACCCTTGGACTGCTTCATAAATACTTTTTATGATTTAAGAAATGTGTGTTTCTATGTTTTTAAATGATTTTCCATTTAAAAAAATCCACCCAGAAATGGGAAAAGACATTTGTATTCCCATCCCCACAAAGAACTGGAATGGACTGGATTTTGATGGGTCCATCCATACCTAGTCTGGGTCCTTACTCACCCTTTCCCCAACTCTACAATATCATTTTTGACGTATGGCACCCAGAATGGCCCACTATATTCCAAGTGCAGTTGCACCATGTACAGTATTTGTGTCATGATATGATATTGGCAGTTTTATTTTCATTCCCCTTCCCAGTGATCCCCAACATGGGGTTCAGTATTCCTCCCCCCACAACTGCACTCCTGCCCCAGAGTCAACATTTTCACTGAGCTATATACTGTGACCCCAAGATCTATTTCCTGGTCAGTCCACGCAAAGCGAATAATTCTTATTTTTGCACCAATGCTTATGTTGACTTACATTTGTTGTTTTAATGCCCATTCACTTAGTTTTGAGAGATACCTTTAGAATTCGTCAGCATTCCTTTTTGTTTTTAACCACCCTGAACAATTTGGTGTCATCAACCACCCTCAGCTCCTCAGAGGAAGGACAAAATGCAAATAATGTTCATTTCAACAAGTGCAGCCTGCCAAGACCTTACTATCTTCACAGCTGTAGACACTGCGGCTGAAAGATGTGCTCTCTAATTTCACTGTCTATGGAGCTACACTATCCATGGAACTCCACTGACTGTGGACTTCTTCAGCCTCAGTGAAGGACTGGGCCAATGATCGTCTACAACAAAATTTGTCTAGAGACGCAGATAGCCTATATCTATGTAGCTCCATTTATTGCAAATAAATGGGGAAATGGACATTGAAGTTGCATATTGCTCACTTCAAACTAATACCCTGTTTGTCATTATGGCAATAAAGTTTCATTTAGGACAAAAAGCAAATCGAAGCTTGGAAGCTGTGAAATGCACAAGGCCTGGGAAGCTGCTTATTTAATTTTCATCCAAGTGTGATGGCACCACCAGGCAATTCTGGCTGTAGCAAACTTTAGGTCCAATTTCCCCCTAAGGCAGAACATATCAGTGAATACAGAGCTGAAGGCTGAAGTCCAACTGAATGCAGAGTTCTTGTGGCTTATTCTCCGTCTCAGAGTTCACTGGCAGATGTTGCAAGAAGTCTAAACAGCCTATCGCATGAACGCTGCCCTCAAATGCTCTCTGTCCTGCAGGGACAGGTGTATATCTTGACATCTAATATGGGCCACTGCAACTTCAAGGCATTCCATGAAGGGCAAGCATGGATCTATAGAGTATTCAATTATAGGAAAAAGACTTTCTCCAGGCTGCAAGCCCAAATGAATCTTGCGGTTTAGTTTGTATGAGGAGCTGCTAGGGGCAGAACTGGAAAACCGCACCTCTGTGGGTAGCTGCTCAGAGCTACTGTTTAGAGCAGGAGGCTCATCAATATGGTGCCCTCTGGATGTTGTTGGACTACAACTGTCACCAGTGGCCTCCAGCCATGGCTAATGGTTAGGGATGTTGGAGTTTAGCAACATTTGAAGGGCTACAGACAGACGCGTACCTAGAGTCCCTTACACCCTTGGCAAGAAGCTGTATCGGTGCCCTCCCGAAAAACATCACTTTACCAAAGTGAGAGAAGGACAGCAAGCTTCTCCCACATTTGATCTTACCCATAGCATCAACAGCACATCACCACACACATACACATTCCATAGTCTGAAAAGTGATTTTTTTGGGGGGGGAGCCTCCTCCCCCAGTGGAGGTCGATTTTGCCAACCCCTAGCTACACCTCTGGCGACAGGTTTCCCCTTCCTAGATTATATAAGCATGTTCGAGTTGATGTGGCCACCTATTGGCAGCCATGTGAACCGCAACATGATAACATACAATTTTAATGTATATAGGAAGATAGATGTTTCACCTACCTTTCTGGTTATATCACAATTTATAATATCTGGTGAAGCTGTTGCTTAGCCATTTCATTTCAGAGCCATGCAATTTACAGTTTTCTACAACTCCTTAGTCATTACCTGTTGATATAACAGGTCATATAATTTCAAGATGGGCGTCAAAGATTTTTGTTTTGTTTTGATGCTTTTTTATTGTTACAGTGAGGGGTTTGTTTGTTTGTTTTGATCCAGCTTCCCCCCCCATCTTATTCGACAGCCAAGCCAAGATACTCAAAAACATACTGTTAGTTCTATTCATAGCCATCCTGCCACCAGAGATTGGCCTCTGTTGAGATCCTAGCCATGCTCAGTGCTAAGGTTTATTTGCATTTGTGCTTTTTTCAGTCAAAAGGACATGGGAAGAAAGACAAGTCTGACCTGTAGCAGATATGTACCTCTTCTGACACAGTTCTATGCAGAAACTGAGAATTTTCCTGCCCCCATACACACATACATTCACACCTTATAAACACTCCAGGGAAGCAGGAGAAAGGTAAAAAAATGAACAAACCTCATTGTGCCTGGCAGGATGTTATAGACATTCAGATTGCCAGATTACAACCATTTCACAATAGCTATAAAATATCACTGTTAGAATGATTCCAAAATCCATACTATGGCATTATCTTTATTAGATCAATCAAGATATCACAAAATAATGAGCAAGCTTTCCACAGTCTTCAGAACCGTCCAGCAGACTGGGTGTCAAACAAAATAGAGAGTTAGAAGAGAGAGACAAAACATAAAGTCTGCCATGAGGTCAGTTGTAAAATGGAGTGTGTAAAAAAGGCAGCAGACATAATAGATTATGCCAGCAGTAGTCAAGGTGGTGCCTTCCAGATGTTGATGGACTATAAATCCCATCATCCCTGACCATTGGCCATGCTGGCTATGGCTGATGGGAGTTGCAGTAGAACCACATCCAAGTTGTAGTAGGACCACATCCAGAGGTTACACCATTGACCAGCTCTAGATTAGGTTATACCTTGAGATACTGGGATAAAGAAACACGCAATGGCTGATTCTCCAGGTCTCTAGATCTTTCTCCAGCCTTAACTGAAACAGGTTCCTTGCAGTAAAGGTGCTTTGTATAGCTTGTTTTCTTTGAATTATTACATTACAAGCGGGACCTTACTCTGCATCTAGAACATACACAAAACATTAGCCACGAGCTACATCAGTCTACATCTGTCCTGTAGTTATTTGAGACATGCTACATGTTGATGCATAAACCCACCAACCGGCTTCAAGGTGATTTGAAAGCTAAGGCATATTAAGACATCCATGCTCACTCTTTGCATGCTAAATTGTACCACAGGAATGGCTGGAATTCCTCTTTGCAGTCGTGCACAGCTTTACTTGGGAGTAAACTCAACTGAACACAGTGAGATGTATTTTCAAGGGTTTATGTGTAGGATCAGGGCATACGAGTTGCAGGACCAAAATACTAATGATATCGTATGTATACCATAGGGGCTTCTCTGTTCATTCATTTATTTCCATGAATGGCACAAGAGCGACAGGCCGCTCTGTAGCCATGATCTGGCTGCTCTGTTCGGAAATGTGCTAGCAAAAGAACTCCCATTTAAATCATGTTGGTAGAAAAGCATCCGAACGAGGTTTGCTCTGCATCGCACCTCTCAACCCCTGAACTCTAAAAATGAAGGGCAAATCTTCTGAATGACGGACAATCGCGGACAAAACACCATGAAATGAGGGACACAATGAGAGACATCAAAGTTTCTCCAAACAATGAAAGAAAGCAAAACTTTGTGATGAGCTAGATGGCGATCCTTAGAGTAGGAGAGAGTTCCACTAATGGTTTATGGAGCAAGGAATGTCTGCTTTATGGGAGAACATAGATATGAGGGCTGAAGCCTTTCATAGATTTGTTAGATTAATTGGCTACAATTTTAATTGGTAAATTGCAGAGGCTGAAGGGCATACAGTGGTCCCTCGGGTTACATACACTTCAGGTTACATACGCTTCAAGTTACAGACTCCGCTAACCCAGAAATATTGCTTCAGGTTAAGAACTTTACTTCAGGATGAGAACAGAAATTGTGCTCCAGCGGCGCGGCAGCAGCAGGAGGCCCCATCAGCTAAAGTGGTGCTTCAGGTTAAGAACAGTTTCAGGTTAAGTACAGACCTCCAGAATGAATTAAGTACTTAACCCAAGGTACCACTGTATTTGTTTTTGAAGTTTTTTGAGCCTGGGTATTACTATCATGAGGCATTAGAAGTGAATCTGGCTTCGGCTGGGGAGGGCGGGATATAAATAAAATTTATTATTATTATTATTATTATTATTATTATTATTATTATTAATCCTAAGCTCACTATACCCCATTGAATTCTGTGGGGTCTACTTCTGAGTACGTACTTAAGAGTGTGCATGCCATGCACAGGAGCTATCTCATATGTTCACACCACTCTAAAGTACCAAGTGAATTTGCCTTATGTTTTCTAGCCAGGCTGAAGCTGGTTTGAGAAAAAACTGCATCAAACGGCAGAAGTTGTAAAGGAACTACAGGATTGTTATGGTTTGCAACGGACGTCATGTGAATGTGGCTGCGAAAATTACCAGTGGGAATGCACTAGATGTGGAGCAATGTGAACATACTCTAGGTCATCTACTGACCAGACAAAAGGCCTGCCAGAATGTATTTTTTAAAAAAATATTCAGCAAGCAGTGAAATGCCATTAGGAAGGAGGGGGTGCTGATGGATCTCTTTGTTCAATCAATCAATGAACTGATTCACGAGTTGATAACTGGACAGTAAACAAACTGAATTAATTAACCAGTTAATCAGTTAAAAAAACGAGACAGTTAATCAGCGGGGGTGGGGGGCTTAAATCTGTTGGCATCGCAAACAGCAACCCACCTATAGGACAGGAAAGAAATATTAAATGAAAACACACACACACACCAGAGTATTTGCATATTTCTCTCCAGGGAAGTCACTATTTGTACCACTATGGAGAGACAGAGGAATTGGTGGAGGCAGGTTAAATCCAGGAGCATAAGAGAAGGCAGATTTTTGCCCATGCAAGGCTCCAAGGCCTTTTCTTCTGGCGCATTTATAACCTATGAATTTGACAGTAAGGTAGTGAAATGTGTAGCTTACCGTATTTAAGCTTTAATATTAAACACAGCTAGCTTCAGGCACATAGGACTTGGGGGCTAACACAGGGCTTCCTGCTGGTCCCCTTCCATGCATCAATTTAAACGTAAAAAGAAAAAAAATCTCTCAAGCTCAGTTCCTTTTGTTACGCGATGCTTTGTCTGAGGCTAACAGGATAACTGTGATGTTGTTCCTCAGGGATCCTTATTGACTGAGCCAAACGCAGGGCAGCACTGCTCAAGGGCATTGCAACATTCAGGTTGGAAACCACATCCCACATACCAAGGACAAATCTGCAGACACACACACACACACACACCCCAGACCCTCCCCCAAATGTCAACCAAGCCTTGTCTTGCCATTGTCTGTGTTTTTCTTCTTTCTAGGTCGCAGTCCCGTGCACAGTTTGGCGGCTTGAATCCCACAGAAGTAAAATGGGATCTAAGAAGCCTTAGAGGAAGCAGGATCACAACTGCGGTCTTCTAAGAAAATGGTAACAGCAACAACCACATGTCACAATGCCAGCTCGTCAAACATCCTGAACAGTGCAAAAATAGTGGCTCATCTAGCAAAGGGTTAGAGCAGCTTCTTTTAGGTTAAGCTCCCCTTGGACATACCCTTACTATGACTGCCTTATTCTCTTATGCTCTGGAACAGTGTTTTCCAATTAGCTGAGTACTGTGGACCCCCTATATTTCAAAAGCCAAGCCATGGACCCCCTACTTTTGAAATTTTTGATAGCTCTATGGTAGTTTTTGTTATGTGAATGGTGCCACAGACCCCCTGGGTGGGTTACACAGACTCCCCGGGATCTGTGGACCACCAATTGGGAACCACTGCTCCAGAGTCTAAGTGGTGAGATGATGTGCAAGACTGAGATCTATGTTCTTTCTTTCTTCCTTTCCTTTCTTTCTTTCTTTCTTTCTTTCTTTCTTTCTTTCTTTCTTTTCTTGAATTTATATCCTACCTTTCACTATGAACAGCCTCAGCAACAGCTTTCAGCAACAAAACTAATGAGAGAGAATTTTACACAGCCAGAAACACAACAGAAGTAGCAGATATACCGTATTTTTTGCTCTATAAGACTCACTTTGTCCCTCCTAAAAAGTAAGGGGAAATGTGTGTGCGTCTTATGGAGCGAATGCAGGCTGTGCAGCTATCCTAGAAGCCAGAACAGCAAGAGGGATTGCTGCTTTCACTGTGCAGCGATCCCTCTTGTTGTTCTGGCTTCTGAGATTCAGAATATTTTTTTTCTTGTTTTCCTCCTCCAAAAACTAGGTGCGTCTTATGGTCTGGTGCGTCTTATAGAGCGAAAAATACGTAAGTTAAAAAACAACCATCCAAAGTATCTCAGGCACCTGTAAAAACCTGGGAAGGAAGGAAAGACCTTGCCTGGTGCCTGGAAGAGATGCTTCCAGGTAGACATATCTGGGATGTTTCCTCATTTGGGGGCCAGCACAGAGAACACTCGGTTCCCAGTAGCCGCCTATTGGACTTCAGAAGAGAGGGGCAGCTTGGAAGGGCTTCTGCAGAAGATCTTCATAGACTGGTAGATTTAGTGGATATTGGTATTGGATGTAACACCCGTAAAGCTAAACATCCATTTTGATGGGCGCTGTAGTCCAACAATATATGGAAAGCCACAGGTTCCCCATCACTGCCCTAAAGACTGCGAAGATAGGCTTGGAACCAGGTGGGAAATACCTGGTAAAATCTTGGGAGCCAGACACCAGGTTGATCAGTTTTTCCCCTATGAATGTAAGAAGTGGCTGTATCCCGAGTTATGCCACTGGTTCATCTATGTCCTGACTGGGATAAACTCCTGAACTGACTGGGATAAACTCCTCAAGGCCTCAGGTGGAGTTATTTTATGAAGAAGAAGAAGAAGAAGAAGAAGAAGAAGTAATAGTAGTAGTATTGGGATGGGATGGGGAATGTCAACAGGCAGCCATATGAGGCCAAGGTCAGAGTAAACACAATGAGGAATCCTGTAAGTTTTGTGGTCCAGCCGTTCATAGGATGGAGCTCACTTTATCAGATGCTTGAAGGTTTTGGACATATGCAAGGGTTCATAGGGAAGGTAACTCAAGTCCCTCTTTGCTCCCAGTACCAATAAATGTCACAACCATGATAATCTGAGCAGAAGCCAGGAATTACGAACTGTTATGCTGAAGGCACAGAGGAGAAATTGTGTACGATCACCCTTGCTTATTTTGCTGGCTTCACTTCTCTTTCTCAGCTAGGCCCAAAAAGTATCCTGAGAACAAAGTGCCTATTATTACCTGTCTAAATACAGCACTTGAGTTCTCAGTATTGTGGTTCACCTGATTTATTTGGCCTTTGCTGCAGACCTGAGCTGCGGCCCCTCATGGTGGCTTTATAGCTTGTGTGATGGGCACACTGGTGTGAGCTCACTGCTGGAGAAGGCAGCCAGCCCAAGACTACTTGGGACCTGAGGCAAAAGACCATGTATTTCTTGCCCCTCTTCCTTCTACACTGACAACAACACATGCACATTGTCTACTGGAGAGCATGCCTTGGTATGGTGGCTTCTCTGTCTGCTCACACTCAGTCAGGGACTTTTCCCATTGGCACTTCCTGTGTTCGGAGAAGGCAGTTAGTTGAGACAGCTTGGCCTTTTGCCATTGGGGCATCAGATCAGCAAGTGTGGGAGCTCGGGGGGAATGGGCAGCAATTGTGTGTGTGAGAGAGAATAATTAGAAATACATACCCTCCAATATTTCTCCGATGAAAATAGGGATGTCCCATGCCACAATGATAATTTTATTATTTATACCTCACCCAACTTACTGGGTTGCCCCAGCTACTCTGGGCAGCTTCAACACATATAAAAACATAATAAAATATTAAACAGTAAAAAAGCTTTCCTATACAGGATTGCCTTCAGATGGCTCGGGGGTCGGATAACTACATGCCGCCCAACATTTCTGCAGTGAAAACAGGGACATCCTACTATACCTTCCAACATTTCTCTGATGAAAACAGGGACACCCTAAGGAAAAGTGGGACATTCTGGGATCAAATCAGAAACCGGGACGGCTTCTCTAAGTCCGGGATGTCCCTGGAAAATAGGGACACTTGGAGGGTTTGGAAATAGCTCATCTCTGCCCAGAATCTTCAGCCTGAGGTAGCTGCCTCATTCTGCCTAATGGTAGGGTTCGGCCTGGATGGAACAAGCCAGAAGAGCTAGTTGTGTGTTTACTTTCGAAGAGGAAGAAGCTGCAATGCTGAACTGAATAGTAAGTTTTACTTTTGGTCTCGAAACTGGTGAGTTTCAGGAAATCCATCTGAAAATGTATTATATGGAAATATTCAGTTTTTTAAAAAACAAAAACCTGCTCAGGAACACCATTGTTTCCCCGCAGCTGTTGCTTCTTTGGGAGTATTTTCTTACATGGGTATAATCTTAGTCAGGAATCTCAGAGTGAAATGACAACACCATATATAAGATGGCATCAACAGTAGTCTCTCAGACCCTTCAAGTGTCCCTATTTTCCAGTGACAGTCCCGGATTTACAGAAGCCGTCCCAGTTTCTGATTTCTGATCCCAGAATGTCCCTCTTTTTCTTATGACGTCTGTAATTTCATCAGAGAAATGTTGCAGGGTACGGTGTTATGCAACCCCCAAGCCAAGGAGATAAGTAACTATACAACCTTTAGAAGACATCTGAAGGCAGCCCTGTTGGAGGGTATGGCGTTATTCGACCCCTGAGCTGTCTGAAGGTAATCCTGTACAGGGCAATTTTTTAAAAAAATATTGTTTTATTATGTTTTTATATATGTTGGAAGCCACGCAGTCAGATGGGCTGGATATAAATAAAATAAGTAGTAGTAGTAGTAGTAGTAGTAGTAGTAATAATAATAATAATAAATAGGACATCCCTATTTTAATCTGAGAAATGTTGGAGAGAATAGTCTCTCTCTCTTCTTACACACCCACACCCACCCACCCACCCACACCCACACACCTGGCTACATAGTGGCGCCCACCCTGCGGAACGCCCTCCCATCAGATGTCAAAGAGATAAACAACTATCTGACATTTAGAAGACATCTGAAGGCAGCCCTGTTTAGGGAAGTTTTTAATGTGTGACATTTTAATGTATTTTTAATCTTTGTTGGAAGCCACCCAGCCAGATGGGCGGGGTACAAATAAATTAATAATAATAATAATAATAATAATAATAATAATATTGGAGTCCCTGAGGGCAAAAAAGAGCAACCGAGAATGAGGATAAAGTAATTTCAATTTAAACCCAGGAGTCAACCTTTGTAAGGGGTGTCAAATGTTGCCAACCATGGAAGACGTTTTTCAACACTCTTCACCATTAACCCCCCAAAATAACAACAGCCCCTTAGAGTAGCTATGCTTCAGTCTGATATGAAGTCCAAATTATGGGCAACTAATCCTTTATTGTGTTCCAAAGTTCTTAATATCCTCACTTATCTTCTTGATAAAATTAGGAAGCTGTAAAAAATAGTAATAAATCTAAGAAATATTGCCTTCCTGGAATTTTTTCTCCCTTTCCTTCCATCACTAATTTGTGTGTCACCTCCAGGTTTGCTATAATTCTTTATTGGATGTTCTTCCAGTATGTACTTAAAATAAATAAATCTCCGGCAGGTTCAGAATACTGGCAACGTGGTTGGCTAGCAATATCAAATGTCACCCGACTATAGGATGTATTCTCGTTCTTGCTCCTCTCCCACTAAGCTGGCTCCTCGTAAAGTTTGAAACCAATATTAATATTTAACTTTTAACGTGCGCAATCTTTCAGGGTCTCAGCCTGACTTAATTAGCTGACATTTAGTTCCCAATATTTCACTGCACACTCTTTAGAGTCCTTGGGTACTAGTTTATTAACATTCCCTACAGTCGAGTGGAGAAGGCGGTTTCTAGCTTCTTTATCAATTGTTCCTAAAGGCAAAAGAATTCATTGCTGAATGCCATTAGATGGGCCTATCCTCCAAATATGTTTGCAGGCACAGGGAAGAAGACCCCTGCTTTTCCATTTCATTTAAATGAGCTTTGTGAATTGCTCTCTCTCTCTCTCTTTTTGCTGCATTTTCCTTGGTGCAAAGCCTCGGTAAAATATGCCTTCAAAAAGCGCTGCCCTTACCTTTATTGTAAAAATACATAAAAGGTGGTTCTGCCATTAATCAGGATCCTTGCATCAATGTGTGGTGTGAATCCCTCTTAAGCAGGGTAGCTCAATACTTAGGTCTGTGCTTCCTTGCCTTAGGTAATTTGACCTTGCTCTTTAAAACAAAACAAAAACAAAACTCAGCCTCTGGAAAGGGCAGCTGAAGATGTATCTAGGTTTGGTTTTGAATGTATATTTGGGCAATGCAGATGAGTAGCTGGGTTTGGGGCCCCTTTCTGTTCCCCTCCTAAGTGATTAGGCCGGATTTGCAAGCTATACTTTATTTCCTAGCAGAATAATGCAATCTTAAACCATGCTTGGCATTCCTACTCCAGTGTGATAAATCAAAGGTAAATCAAGTGACCTTCTCTCCACCCCAGCTCCGGGCCCCAACGATTGACTTTCCTTGTCTTGCAGGACAGTCTTGGGCACTCAAAAGCCAGGAGCTGAAGAAAGGTACCGTATTTTTCGCTCTATAAGACGCACCAGACCACAAGACACACCTAGTTTTTGGAGGAGGAAAACAAGGAAAAAAATATTCTGAATCTCAGAAGCCAGAACAGCAAGAGGGATCGCTACGCAGTGAAAGCAGCAATCCCTCTTGCTGTTCTGGCTTCTGGGATAGCTGCGCAGCCTGCATTCGCTCCATAAGACGCACACACATTTCCCCTTACTTTTTAGGAGGGAAAAAGTGAGTCCTATAGAGCAAAAAATATGGTAAATCAAATGACCTTCTCTCCACCCCAGCTCTGGGCCCCAATGATTGACTTTCCTTGTCTTGCAGGACAGTCTTGGGCACTCAAGAGCCAGGAGCTGAAGAAATGTACTTTGTGCACCAGGCTTGTGATCTGTGATGTCGAATGTCCATCCACTGGGCATCTCACCCCGGTACTTCCCAAATTAGCTGCTGCTCAGTTTGTGGAGCCTGCCAGGAGTTCAGTGTTTAATGGGTGACACTCTCGCTTTCTCTCTCTCTCTCTCTCTCACACACACACACACACACTCTGTATGCACCTGGATAGCTATATAGATACCATTGTGCTAACACAGAAACCCTGCAATATTCTGCAGCATGAGACTCTCAGCTATGGTATTTCCAAGGTCAGGGCTGGAGTTTCTCAGCGCAATCCTATGCCTGTTTACTTGGAAGCAAATCCCACTGCCTGAAATGGGGTTTAAGGCTACAGCTTCAGTGTGCCACACGCAGCTCCCTTCTCCTATCTAAAATCACCAGAAGCAGAGTGATTTTTGCAACCCTGGAGACCCGTTTACTCAGAAGTAAGGCCCACGGGGCTTCCTCCCAGGTAGCTGTGCATGTCAAATCCTGTTTTTCTTTGCACAGGATACGGTCTTCCTTGTCACATAGGTTTCTTTTCTTTTTCAACGCCTAAGCGCACGCAGGCCTGGGTTTACCCTTCAGCAGTAGCATATCAGCCCCGACAGAGTTGTGTTAGAGATCTACATTTGATATCCAGCAACTGAATAACTTTAGCTCTAATTATCTAGTTAAGCTACCATAACAAAACATGCTGTATATGGTTGTGTTCAGTATAATTACAGAGTATTTCACGAGAAGTGCGATTAATAGTATTTCATTACATTTCGATGCGGCTTCCCTAATTTGCAATGAACTTAATGCGTGCAGGATGTCTCCTGTATGAGTTAATATTCTACCTATCGTATGTTGGTCCACTGAATGTGTGTGTGTGTGTGTGTGCGTGCATGAGAGAGAGAGAGCTCACCGGGAGACAAATATGAGTAAAAAAAAAAAAGACTTGTTATTGAACAATCTTGTTTTTAGGGCTTATCTTAGTAAATAAAGTATTGATCTTTTCCATTGGGGACTCGTGGTTCAATTCCACTATCCGTCCCTCAGTGATATGTAGTGGTGGCAACTCATTCCTAGCAAACAGTATCAATCCACATTAAATATAATATCAGTCACAGCAACCTGAGCTCTATGCCTGATAGACCTGATGCGGAAAATGAAATCAACCATTAAAAAATAAGTGTATAATTCTAATGCTGGTGCCATCCTTGTTTTGAAGGAAAACGGAGACTGGGAATGTGGCCGCTGCAAATGCATGCTGCTCCTTTGAGTTTAGCAGAATGATGGCCCTTGTTACATCATCCTCTCTTGCCTTGAACAGTTCTGTTAAAACAACAACATAACAAACGCCTGGTGGATCAGGCCAAAGACCAATCTAGACCAGCAATCTGTTCTTACAGTGGCAAACCAGACACCTATGGGAAGTCTACATGCAAGCCCTATGCACGAGAGTACTCAACCCACTTGTGATTTCTAGTAATTGTCTTCAGAGGCAAATGGCCTCCAACAGTGGAGCTAGTAACAGTTGATAGCCTTATTAATTTATTTAATTCTCTTTTAAAGCCAAATGTGGTAGCCACCACTACTTCTAATTTATAAATATGTGCAACACATATTTTGTATATTTTGTACAACTAGCTGATTTTTTTTCAGATCATCTTTCTAACATATATATTAAATTCTTGTGAATTAAATGGACACACATATGTATGCATTAGTAAAATAAATACTGTCAGAGCTCAAAACCATCTTCCTAGCTGCAATAATTATAGTGGATTGCCCTTAAGTACTAATTAAGCAGAAATCTTTCGCAAAGCAATGGCATATTATGGAACTGAACGCTACACAAGCCAATCCTGAAAACATTCACTTGCAAGTGAGTAACTGCAACTGTCACAAAGGGAACTTACTTTCAAATAAGTGTACTTATAACCCTGATCCTAAATATATGGACATGAAAGCAAGTCTGCTTCCAAGGAATTGTGTAAAGGGCTGCAATATTCAATGATGACTGAGATTCACTAAGTAATGTTGATACGTCTTTAGCATGCATTTTATGTTGGTGATGTGTAACTCCCCCCCCCCCCATTAATGCAGCTTTAAAACAAATGGCTCCAAGATTTTAATTTACTTCTCTATAATGCTATCTGAACAAGCATTCATATTTATTTATTTTTTAAAAAATCTTCTCTTGAGATACTCCTAGTAATAATGCTGTCCGATGTACTTCTGCCATGGAGTTATATATATTATTTTTAGAAGCTCTAGGCACGCCCAATCAAAGTTTGAAGATGCATGGAAACAGAAGCTCAGTGCTTTTATTTGTAAAAAGTGCGTTATCAAGGTACTAATATCTTGATAACAGTGCCCTGTGTGCCAGCACACAACGAGTACCGTCACACACACAAAAAGCACTGGTTACACTATTTATTTTTGACCTTTTATTTTTGTCCTTCCCTAGTCAGAAAGAAACCTGGTAGCTCTTCTATGCAGAAGCCTTATTAGGGACACAGTTTGTCCAGCTTCTGTCCAGCAAAATGATGCGAACAAAACAAGCTTCAGTCAACCCTGCCATCACTTTTGAAAACATGTTTGACAACAAGAGAAGCAAAGAGCACAAGCGTTTCAATCACTCCCCCTTCAAGCTCTCCCCCCCCCCCCCACATTAATGGTATGTTGTTTGGTAGAAATATAATGTGCTGTATAGTGTAATAAAAGGCACTGATTATCGTTAAGCACTGAGCCATTTTCTAACTCTATATTTCTCTAACAATATTTTTAAGTGTCATATTCACGCTGTTGCAATAGAAGCTTCTGGGTGCTCTATTTCTTTTGTCCCTCCATCATTTACCTGGTTTAAAAGTCCCAACCTTATTTAAGGCACATGTGGGCACATACTCATGCCAAGGCTCCCATCACATACCCACTTACCTCGGAGTAAGTCCCATTGAAAGGGTCTTGGTGGACTTGTATAGAATCGCTCTGCAAATTATGCAAACCAATTTGGCTCAGATCTGTGCTGGAGTAACGTTGACTGAATCAATGGGTTTGTGATAAGGCCCTTTTATACACTTCAGCGTATAAAACTGAAGTCATTTAGTAAAGTTTCAAAAGGGGACATGACAAAATTATCTTTAAGACACAACCATCAGTTCTAAAGAGCTGGCCACAAGTTCTTGCCTTCTAACCCAATCAAAACTGCATCAGCTTGTCACTGGAGGCCTGGCTTCAAGAAAACATATGGGTCCCGGAGACACAACAAAAAGCAAAGCGGGCGCAGTTAGATTTTCATCCATATCCTGTGAGAGTGCCAGTATAGCATAAAAGATTATTTACTCAATAAACGAAGCATAAACCCAGTGTCAAAGTGCTAAAACTAGGCGTTCAAGAAAACACAAACAAAAATACTTCAGTCAGATACAGTTTTACTGACAGCTGTAACTGAAATGTTGACGATTACTAGAACAGATGGAAATAGGAGGAAAAAGTAGTGTTTTGAAGTGCTTACACTGTCAATTGGTTAAGTTTCTACCAGAAAGTCTGAAAGGACTTTTGATGTGCAGTCATATATACTGGATTTTTCCAGAGAGGGGTTTTTTTCAACTAAATTTTACTCAAAGTATACCCACTGAAATGAATGTGTGTAAGTTAGTAATGTCAATTAATTATGATGGGTCTACATGGAATATGACTAGCCTTGCATACAACCCTGAATCTTTCCCTTGGCATCTGAATAGTGAATGCAAACACCGGACCTATTTTTCTTTTCTTCTCTTTGAGAGGGTATATATATGATTTCACCATTCCCCAAACTAATTGGGATACTGAGACCACTTCTCACTAATTAAAATAAACTGATGAGATTTGAAGTTGATTATGCCCCCTTTTAATATATATAAAGTATAGATTTTGGGTAAGTTCTTTCCTTATCTTTGCCCTAAAAATCAATAGGATTCCATGAAGTGTGAAGGAAGCAATTTGACCCTTTCCATTTAATTTTCCATCCACCATGAATAGGGACGGAGTTTCCAGCTCTATTTGTCTAAATGAAGCCAACTGGAAACCTCTCTGTTTCATCTTCATATTTGGGGTGTTTGCTAAGCATAATAGTTTCATGTCAAAATGAAAGTCCTCAAACTGACTGGTATATTCACCTTTGTTATTCAACAGACTAGAAACCATACTAATTAGATAAAATGTATTATTTAAATGAAAGAAAGAAATTTAATGTCATTTGCTGAGGTAGACAATAGACTGTTACTACTCAGCACAGACAAAGGATGAATATAAAACTGAGGAAAATCTTGTTGATAAAACATGCTGCTAAAAATAATATTTAAGTACCCATTGTGGACCCAGTGGTTTCTGTTTATGTGGATGTAGGTGGAGGTTTACAGGCAATCGCCCCGATTCTAAACTTATCTATTTGGAAGTAAGTTCCAATGACTTTAATGGACTATAATTCCAAGTAACTGGACTTTGGGTTGGGGCTGGTGGCTCTGATGTTGCACAATCCAGTTAAGCTGAGATAGTCAGAACTGAATGTAAGCCAGTGTGGTCATATCCACTGCCATGAGACTAACACATGGGCCTAAGCACATTACTCAGAAGGCTATCCATTGATATCGATGGTGTTTACTTCCAAGTAATATCAGGGTCAGGTTGCCAGTCATTGTAAATCCACCATCTGTGACATGTAAGGCTTGTGGAAAGGAACGTAAACCACACAACAAGATATAAAGGGAAAGATATAAAGGGAATTGTTGACTCCACTCAAACAAAATTAATAAAAATTCACAATGACCAAAAAGCATCAAGATTTTTCTCCTGGCTGAGATATAACATGTACATTCCACTCCTAAACAAAAAAAGTTGTTAAGTTCTGTTGGTTTCAAAAGAACTCATTAATTTTGAAAACAATGAAAATGTGTAATAGTATGAGAGGACAGTTGATGGCTTGAAATAAACCATGTTTAAGCTGGGAATATATAGGTTTTTCATCTTACTACAGTGTGACATTTTATACATCTCCCTTACTAAAATTTAAATGCCGAGCTGTTTCCTTTTAAGTATGCACTGTTTTAGGGATGACCATTTTCTTTTAAAACCCTTTATCAACTGTCTACTAAGTTTATAGGGAATGGATTTTGATTGACTTTCCAGTGGCCTCAAAACAAAACTGTACACAATATATATTTTTGGAAGTTATTTTTCCAGTGTGGGAAACTTTATACTTCAAAACCTCATATTTCAAAATATAGACAATATTTTTGCACACTATCCCTTCTATTTAAAACTAAGGGAGGCCAGCATGTGGTTTGATCCATGAGTAGAACAAACTTCAGTAAGAATTTACCAAAAAGTGAAAAAAAGTTTGAGAGCAGCTATAAGTAACAATTACTGAATGAGAGAGGCTTTTATCATTATAAAGTGTTGAAAATCATAAACAAACATATTGTGCGAGTTAGTAATAAAATACCATCCAATCAAATAAAATTATTAGACGCTGTTTACTGGTGCAAGAAGCGTCAGGGGCACACTGATATTTCCCCATTTTGAAACAACCTCTTTACAATCTGATTGCAATTTACGGTGATCACATTAAATTCCGCCTTTTCATTTGTTTTGAGTGCAAGGAACAGAAGCCTTATGGGCTGGCTGGATTCTACCCCTAAACAAGAGATTCTGCTATTTGATAGACTTTTTGCTCAGTGATCTCTTCCAACACCTAGAGCACCCAAAATGCTGTCAATGGTTTCTACTAAACAAAGTAAGTTTCTTTAAATCAGATCACTTCTAAAGGATGGTATGTTGAGAAAGCTTCTGCCAAAGAGTTGACAGGAACCAGTTGACATTTACTTAAACTGGCACAGTTCTGTTGACTTCAGTGTGACAACACCAGTGTCATTAGCAGTCTAAGATAAGCCCTGAACATCATCATCATCATCATCATCATCATCATTAAAACTGGTTCATATATTCACAATGACTTGGTAAAACTACCCCAGCTAAAACAAGAGATTAACAATACACAACACCATAATTTTGCTTCAATCCACGTGGCCATCTTCTGCTAAGCAAGAGTTACCATTCTACCAGTGAGCTAACAAATTCTCTTACTACCAGGCATTGGGGTTCTTGAAAAAGAGCATGACTGACACAACAGTCTTGGCAATAATTTTCACCACTGACCATTCTAGTCCCAGTCCAGTGTCCTCAATAATTGGTGCAGATGGCAACTTTAAATTATCAGTATCAAGGTGGATGTCTTTTTTTAAAAAAACACAACAACCCACCATAAACAAAGATAAGGGTTAATGGAAGGCAGAAATTGTAGAGATATTTCACTTGACGTTCTTCATCTGTAACAGCAGCAGACTCCAGTTGTTCTACAGCTCACCATGCACCTCGGGGTTTGGACAAAGACCTGAACGAGAAAGGACAATGTTCCATGTCATTAAAGTATTCAACAATTCGATTCTCTTACAATTACAGAACTTTCTCATTTTTTTTCATGCTGCATAATCTCTTGGCCACGACTATGCAATAAATTGCTCGCCAGGGTTACAACTATGTAGAATATGCTAAATCTTGACATACATTTTGATCAAAGAACAATGGCAGGTTATAGGTATCATAGAAATCTGTCAATGTTACTTTGATAGCAGACTGATCTTTTTGCCTGACTTGGCATGGCGCCATAAAACAGAGCAACCCGGTTTCTATATTGATTGATTCATGTTGGCAAATCTTCACAACCTTTTTACTTTTGTTATGGGTATATTAATAAATAAACTACTTCTAAAGGTGTGTAGCTCTCTGGAAGTTTTGAGCTTTGAGCAAACAGCAGGTGAAGGGATGTATCAAAAAACTATCTTAATTTGATGATGCAATCCTTATTTGAGGTGGATTTCCCTCACGCCGTTATAAACTCTACAGCATTGTCCCACTCTGCGTTTTCCCACTGCACAAACTTCTTCAAGGAAAATAATTGCCTTGAAATACATATCAAGAAGATACTCCAAGCTTAGAAAATGAAGAGTTTTCTAGATGTGGACGTATCAAAGTTATCGAAAAATTATGGCTGCAATCCTAGACACACTTACCTGGGATAGGGAAAGAGATTCTTTTTGGTTCACATTTAAAGGTGAACCTGCCTAAATCTCAGGTTCAAAAAAATAACAATAATACAATAATCAAAACATAGCCATTCTTCGAAATTTGCACTTCTCTGAATTTTGAGATGCAACTGTCCAGCTAAGTCATGTGTACAAAAATGCATATACCAGGGCAAAGTGTGCATAAAAATGCATACAGTGAAAATAATGTATAAACGTGCATTATATTAGGGCAAAGTCCTTTGCACAATGTGCATATTAGGAGAAATTCACTGATGAATTTTCATGAGAACTTTTTTAAAAATTGCAAACTGATATGGAAATATAAAGATCTGAACGTAAGACTGGAAAAAGGAAAGCAAAACCAGAATTGAGAGATTCTGGGTATCGGTCCCATTGAACTCAACGGGGCTTGCTTCTTAGTAGGCATGTATAGAGTTGCACTGTGAACCTAATTATTTGGAATATGTCCTATTGTAATTTGGGCCTTTACTTCTGAGTAAATATAGTTAAGATGGAGTTCTAAGCCTATTATTTGACAAGAAAACTGGGCCTAGGTTACTTGGCAACAGGTCCTCCAGCGAACTACAGTGGGTAAGTTTGGTTTACTGAAGCAAGCAAATTTCCCCTGTAAGAACTCAAAATAGAAATTTCAGTGTCACACAATAAGTGAATGGTTACCAGTTCAAAAGAAAAGAAATGAAACCAATTACAATGGATTTGTTGCTCTACTAAGGTCTTTCAAGTAGGACCGTAATGTTTGTTCCTGCAAAGCTTGAGTTTGCAGAACCCCACCATACAACAGGACTATAATTAAACACTGTATTTATTTCCTGGCCATTTCCAAACTGTTTTCCGAAAGGTGAGGGGAGATAATTATGAAACTCCGTAAAGTTTCATTAAAAAATTACACCCATGAAGTGACTACATCTTCTTTATTTTCCAGTCCCAGAGAATATTACAGTGCAGTGGAAACGCTAACATAATTCAGGTACAAAAACAGAGCTGTATTATTTAGAACTCTGTTGTACTGCTTTGGACTTGGCAAATCATCCTGAAGAGCAACTCTCAGTGAGGACTAGTCACCTGGAAAGCATCAACTTTCAAAGCTCTGCTGTTAGAGGAATAATAGACATGTTGGAATGAGGTAGAGAGAGGGGGAGTGGAAACATCCAGCTTTCGTAGCAGAATGGATGTATTTTTCTACCCTTGTGCAATTCAAAAATGCATGAATGGTTTCTGCTCAAGCTTTCTACATACATAAATATATTCACCTTTGGGATGAGAATGGAAAACTCCAGCCAAAGAGAATAATTTTGCAGAGCTATGAGCATGTGAAGGCGATTATTACAACGGAAGTCTCTATGTTACCTTAATGATAACTTTGGGGGGCAATTGAAATCTAGAGTAGTGTATTATATTGCCGTGGTAAATCTACTGATGAAAGTCCATACCTTAACCTAGAGAATATCCCTGGCCAGTCTCCTAATTTGAATTGCAATAAACAGTGTAATTAGCTTGGCTCCCTGTAAAGGGGTAAACAGGAAAGCAAGGATATGACAAAGGTTGTCGTTTACGTAAATCCATGCCCTTCCATCCACCGCCTTCCCAAAATCTTCTAGACTGTGATACATAAAGGGACAACTACTCATTGCAAGATAAGATCATAAGGTCCTATAAGATCATTGGTCCCGTGGCAAATCTCAGCTTCCAGCTTACGAAAAAAGGAAAAAAAAGTATTAATCTGAGAAACAGCTCCCAGTTGCTTAAGCAGAAAGTAAAGGCAGACCAAAAGAGGAAAAAGAACACACATTGTGTGTTTCATTCTTTTTAATTCCCTGTCTGTGAAAAGTGTAGTATAGAGATTTTGAGTGAGATCAAAGAAAACTTTTGACAGATAACTGATCCACGGTTGTCTATATCAAACAGTTTCATCATTTTAACACACATCATTAAAAGTGTGTGGTTTTTTTGCTCTTTAGTCAACAAGGAACACAAATGTCATGTAAACATGCAAAGAAATGCCAGTATATCTTTACAGCAAATGTTTCTTGAATCTGACATATTGGTAGCATCAGCTGGACAAATTCTTAGGGAGTCTGTGCAATTTCCCTCTTCACCCCTTGCAACAAGACTGAGGACCCTGAATATATTCCATTCATACAACGTAAAAGATAACACAGTAATAGCACAAGCTATTGTTCCTATGAGCCCCTCAAAATAACATCATATTCTCTGAATTTTGCTTTGTGCAACACTTCAAAATATTTCTGCACTGTCTTTCTGTATTTTGTATTTTCCAGTGAAATTTACAGCCCCACGAACTGCCATGGGCAAATTCTTTTTGTGGGCCATTTGGTTGACTGAAAGCGCTCATCTTTCACAAAGCTCTGCACACACTGAAAACAGTTTCTTGAGTATATACCCCTACACAAGCTGCAAGCAGATGGGAATGGCTGCCAACATCAAAACAAATTTATAACAAAGTTGTAATGTGATAATAGAGCTGGGGGAAAGCATAAACAAGGATTTCCCCAAATTTTGCCACTTAGCCCGGTCTATGTGGTGCCTCTGCACGGTGATTCCTGGAGAACTTTACTTTTATACTTCTCTGATTGCCAGATGTGATTCTCCTGCCAATTTGGAATCAGACTCCCTCCCTACCAGAAGCTAAGTTGAGATGCTTCTGGCTTCCCTAAAGCTAAGCAGTTTTATCTCCCTCCATTGATAGTGTTGTAGATCTGAATTAATCTGAAAGCTGAATGCCATGGCTTCTCTTATTTTCTTTCTTTCTTTAAAACTAAACGTTTTTCTCTAGAAATGTGTTTGGATGCTCTCTTTAATGTCAAACTTCTTTTTCTCCTTCCCCATATGGAAACGGGAGTCAGATAGTGTGGCTGGCTGCTTTCCTTTCTCCCTTGCATTTTGTGGAGTTTCTCTTTAGCATGTCTGCCATGTTTGTAGTCCTGTGAGATTTTACAAGGTCAGGCACAAGGACTGCTCTATTCTTGCACTCTATTTTCTTGTTTCCTCTCCAGCCACGTCCAGGCAAAAACAGCAAAACTACCGCTGCTGTTCTTATATATTTATTTAAGAAAACACCTCTGATAGTTATTTAGTTCCGTGAGACCCAAATGTTTGAATCCCTCCAGCCGATGTGAAGGCCTGCCCCTTTCCCTTCTGGCGTTGGTTGTATTTTGTCACAGTCCCAAATGTGCCTTCTTTGAAGACCCATTGATTTCAGAAGAAATTGCTTCCAAGTAAGCCTGCTTTGAATCGCAATCTAAAGCCACAATTCTAAACAGGATTATGTGGAAATGAGTCCCGTTGAGTGTGATGATAGCAAACCCAAGTTCTCATGAGGCAAGTCAGTTTCCCGGGGGTTCTTTTAAGGAAATCAGAATGCCGAGGGTAACTTTATACACTTTTATTAAAATGAAATAAAAGTGTGTATACATATACATATGCATATACATATAACTGACCAAGGAGGCTGTGATTTATGAAATCAGCCAGGAGAGACAAGAAAGAAGACGAAAGACTAACTAACCCAATGCCTAACCTGGTGCAAGTTTTCTTGGAAGTAAATCTTACTATGTTCAATAGGACTGACACCTGTGTAATTGTGCACAGGCTGCAGGTTTACTAACCTACTTTGGTGTGGGTTTTCGTAAGCAAAAGCTTACTTTGCCAGTTGTCCCAGGAAACAGAATTCATTACACACAACTTTCAACATGCTTTTGGCTTCAGTGTGATGGCAAATTACTTCACCCTAAAACTACGGGCAAGTTTGAGAGTTAGATCAGTGAGTCAGAGAAAATCTGCTCAGATCGTTCACCCAGTTTTTCCTTACTCTTCAATGCCCTTTTCTCTTCGCCTCCATATAGTTTGGGGCTGGGGAAATAACAGACTATGGGAAGTGCATGCAGAGTTCTGAAAACAACCTTCAATCTTTGCCTTTTCTAATATTTTAAGAAAAGCAATATAGATGATGCCCTGATCAAAAGAAACATCTTGGAATACTTTGTTTTTAAATGATTTATCTGTGGGTGTCGCAATGGAGGCTTTTTAACAGTTACACTTTTCCAGTCCTCCTACATATTATACTTAAAAACAGAAAATAAACTTCTATGGACACTTCCTAAGTTCCACCAAAGTTTAACTTTTAATATCCCTTAGTTTGGAAATTAATAATAGTTATTTTGAACCTTAAAAGCCTATTAAATATTATAGTAGTGATTGTTAGATGTACATTTCCACCCATACTCTTTCACTCACTCTTTATTCCTAAAATGTTTTTATCCAAAGGCGATGGTCTATGTCACCTTTCCCAACCTGCTGCCCTCCAGATGTTTTGGACTACAACACCCATGAGTCCTGGAGGGCACCAGGTTCATGAAGCCTGGTCTAAATCTATTTAGAATTTGACCGAAATGGATTAAGCAGAATGGCCTTCTTGGCCTTAAATATTAATATGTAAAACTAAAAGCAAGGTAGATGCATGACAAACATGAATAATTTATCCGGGCATTATTTCAGTTAGAAACTTCTGGATCACACTACAGAACCACGCATTTGCTATTTAAAGGATGAAGCAAAAGTACCAATTCTTTTCTGGGGGGTGGGGTGGGGGTAAGGAAGTCCACAAAATGTGATTTGAGCAGGAATCAATCTTGAAACTGCTTAAGGGCACGTGGCCTACCAAAATACTTTTGGAAGCGTTGCAATGTTTATTTGTTCTCGCTCCTATTCCACTGCCCGCTCCCCACTCCCAGGATATCACAAAAGGAAACAACTGCTAAAGATAAAATCTGGGTGCATCCCAGCACCATTAAAATCTGGGGCCATTGGCCTCAACCGGCTCACGATGGCAACCTCAAGCGTTGTATGTAAGGAATATGTTGCGATGCAAGATGTGGTTCTATTTATCTACACACCCACAGACCCACACCCACACCTGATTGTCTATTTATTACATAGGCATGCACACACATATACACATATATATGTCTACGGAAAAAACCTGGCACTTGTAATACTTGACGAAAATTCGTAGCACACGCGCTTGGCGTTTTAAAAATGGGTGGCATGACAGAATTTATGAGCAGATTTTCAGTCTATTTAGAGGATCCCACTTTCTGCCCCCAGTTCACGGCAGTGCAATGTCAGTGCCTCTTCCATCTACAGAACATTCTCCCCCCTCCCCAAGTGCTTTTGCTGCACCCGAGCAATACAACTGGGTGGAGGGGAGGGGAGGTGGGGTGGGGAGTTGCTGTTGAGAGAGAGCAGCACATGTTACATCAGACACAGTACCTGATTTTTCAATGCACAGCTTGTCAGCCAGAAAGTCTGCCTCCTGGGCGATAAGTGAGTATATTTCATCTTCATACTGTTCTATGATAGTTTCGCACTGAAAGGGAGAAAAAGAGCAGCTCTCCAGCAAAGAACTAAACAAGACCATTTACACAGAGCAGAAAAAGGAAGAACCGCCTCACAAAGACTGTTTGGGATTGTTTGCTTGTGCAGAACCCTGATCAATTGTCCTATTCCCCCCCATATAATTAACAGTTATATTGAATTTCAATATATGCTTATTTAAAAAAGAAAAAAGAAAGAAAATAATGCTTTGCATAATGATATTTTGTTAAGGATTATATTTTACTGTAATTGTTTCCTCATAATGCAGGCTGCTTTAATGGCGATACAACTGGTTTAAAATTAAATGTATATTTTTTAAAAAATGATTATATCCGCATTCTCGCCATGGGTGCGTACATGTGTGTGTTTGTATAGATGCACACACATATATTTGCGCACACGGTTTTCCATTTTAGCAGAATGCTAATGTTTTGCAAAATGGTACAAAAGTGACAAGGGCGCTGTGCTTGAAAAATCTCTTCGGGTGGTAGGCAGTTAAGCTCTCCTCGGCCATTTTGTCTGAAACTTACAGGTGTAAATGCCTCTTACCCCAAAACTCCAAAACGGGTTGTGGCAAAAGCGGAAAGAACCCCATCATATGCACTTTTATAACAACAACAAATGGGTTTCATCAGGACCAAACATCGACTGTGGAGGATGGCCAACTCTTACCCAGCGCCAAAGGTTATAGTCGGAATACGCCATAACGGGGACAGGGGGGTAAAGTTTTAGCACATTAATTTAAACACAGGATCTTAAAATCCAATAATTTGCTTCAACTTGTCACAGGAAAAAAGAGCAATTCAACTGGACCACAAATCATATTTCTGGATTCACATTAGTGTAGCTACTACAATTGCACATGCACCCCAGATCTAAAAACATTGGTACTTATAAGCAAATTCCTTTGACAACAATGAGTTTTACTTCCACATGCTAAGTTTTGGACTGTGGTTCCTGCTTCCCGCCGCTGCCACCACTTTGCTTTAAATACTTTAAAAACAAAGCAGAAGAGTGAGCATTCTCTAATGTACAATGATGCCTGGTACAGGAAAAAATTATGTGCTCTTTCACAAGCGAACAACTAGGCGCTAGGCCATCTTAGGACCTTCCCTCTTGCTCCAACACACTCTAGGCCCTCAGAATATATGTGGACCTTGTCGACAAGGCCCAAGGAAAAGAGAGGCGGAGACGTGACCTTTCCCTCTCTGAATAGCAAATAAAGATTTGAAATTACATTATAATTAATTTGGATTGTTACCCTACCATCACAGTTGCCTACTTCTTAAAAAACAGAGCTGCAATATAGTATTGATCTATACCACTGAAAAATAATTGCCAGTAAAGCAGATGATATATATTTTTTAAAAAAATATTCTAGTTTAAACAACCAATTACACAGAAATGGAGTCAACAGCATCTATCTATACAACACAGGTGCTGTGTGTCATGATTTTGCATCTCTAGACCATGCCATACCATTTGTTGTTATAAATTACAAAGTACTAAAGAGCCTACAGAAACAGCGTAGCATTATCAAAGCCCTGGCTTTACGTTGAGTGAAGTGATTTAATATACAATATCAAACATTATGCTAATAGCAATTCAGCCCGAAATGTCACCAGTTTATTATGTTGTCTTACCGCATATTTCAAGGGCTTATAAGCGTCAGAATAAAAAAAGTATTTTTTATATTCTGCGTAGATTGGCTCATCTTTCCTAGGAGCATATCTCTTGAATATCTTTTTGTTAGTGACTGGGTCGTCTTGAAGTTGATAGTCGTTCATCCGATCACATATCTTTTCCAAAACGTCCGTTAAGAAGGTCTCTGACTTTGTAAAAGCAACCTAAAGGGAAGGAGAAAATTACATCTCTCTCTCTCTCTCTCTCTCTCTCTATATATATATATCTGTATACACTGAAATTTCCAAAAATCACAAAGGCAAAAGGCTACAAGCACAGGGCTCTTACACAGGTCAAGGAAACAGAGCAATGTCAGCAGATCTCCATATCTGCATAATTGTTGACCCATATTATATTACACACGTAATTAAAAATGTCAGCTGAATCTACGATGACACTTGCAAAAAAAAATTAAACATCTACAGTTCTCATAAAGCATTCCTTATAGACTAATGTGCCATTATAAGCTTTTAGATTTGCAAGCACATTTTGCTATTAAAAGAAGATGTATAAGACTCAGCAAATCAAAAGAGAAAAAGCATCTTTCCATGGCCCACGTTTTCTGGACGTACCCTTGAAAGATTTCTTGCTGGAATCAGCTTTGCTTCTTTAACGGGAGCAGTTTCTAAAAAGTCTCTCTCCATCTCTCTCTCTCCCCCCCCCCCAAGTCCTTCAGTTGGTCTGTCTTACTTGCTGTTCGTCAACTCAGATGCAGCTGTTTAATGCCTCCCAGGGGTTTGCAGAAAGAAAATAACCGCTTACAAAATTTAGCTTCTCCCAGGTTCTACTGTTACGAGCTTTATTTTCCAGCAGCTGGCCCATGTCTTCGCCCATGCCTCTTCCTTCAGAATTAAGCAAGAATTCGGAGGGGGAAAACATTTAGACGCTACCTACATACTTAGCGAGGGTCTCAACAGCTAGTGCTGCAGAGGTCAAAGAGCAGCCCTCATCCCTGGAAACCGGGACAAAAAACTTCTCTCCCGTCTAGACAGGTCAAGGTGCAAGATGCGCCTATCCCTGTTGCTTCTTCCGGAAGGGGGCGTGAATTGAAGCCAAGTGCACAGTAAACAACAGGGCTGCATCCTTGGGCCTTTAGAAGATCTTTCTCCCCCCCTCTCCACCCTCTGCTGATCAAAGTAGGAAGTTATCATGACAACCATAGTCAAAGGGACTGAATCACAAATGAACTCGATTTCTGCAATGTTGATATATCCAGTCTCCATTGTCTCTTTTCAGGCGCGGTATGAAGCCTTCCGGTCTCAATGATTACATTACAGAAGCACTTTCATATGTGTGCTCCGTTTACACAAAGGAGTTCCTTGCTTCACCACCATCTGGCTACAAATCAGATAAATAAAGGCAGAAGAATTAAAATTAAAGCTTAGGGTTCCTCCTCCCCCTCCCCCTCCGCTCCCCACCTCTTGTGCTTCTTAAACTGGGCCCTTTTATGAGACATTCTCCTTCAGCCTCAGCCTCGTTTTGCATTTGGAATCTAAACTTTTTTTTAATGGAAACTGGGAGCAACAAAAAGGTAACTGATGTGGGTTTTATCCACCTGCAAATGTTGGATGCAAATTTTCAAGCGCCATATTGAAGGCCAATTTGTAAATTGAGCAGATTATCCCAAATGTGGTTCTGCGCACACATGGAATTATACTTCCCCTCTCTCTTCCTCTCTTATTCCCTCTCTCACACACAAACAAACACTTGCACATAAACAGTGACCAAGCAGCATGGTTCCCAAAAGATTAAGTGGAATATGCAATTCAGCAACACTGCTCCCCCCCCCGCACTTATGGCTTGGGGGTTAGAAAGTCAAATGCGCTGACATTATTTGGAAGTAATTTCCATTTATTTCAATGGAGCTTCCTTTATTATGTTTAGAATCAAGATAGATATAATAAAACAAGGAGTTGCTTGTCTGCTTTTCTTTTCTTCTGCTACTTTCACATCTTTTGGAAATATGCAATGTCTTCATTTTCCAAGACACAACTTTGCCTAAAACTTATTACAGAGCCTAAGGATTTGACCCAAAGTAGCACATGATGCAATGATAATAATGAGTGTTAAAGTTCAGGGAGTTTTTATTATCTCTGACACAACTATACCATCCTATAGCTGCCATGGCTACAGTCTCATACAGGGTTAAGAGTGCTCCAAGTCATCGCTTTCAGTGCTTGTTTAACTCTGTGTTGGATTATGAGCAAAGGGCATCATTCAAAATAGGACGTAGGATATGAAACTAACTATGGGGCATAGTTAGTTTTCAAGCCTAAATAAAAATTCAGGACAATTAAATATGACAGGAATAATTATGCACAAGTTCTATCTCAGCAGACTGATTGAAAAATGATCTGTAGCATTTCCATAACAGCAGGATGGGTATTTTGTGAAGCTTGGAGCAGGGAAAAAAGTTATTTCGGAAGATATTCCTCTATTCCTCAGTTGGTTAAATCCAACCCAATGAAGTACCAAAAACACGCCTCAGATAAGCAGCAAATGCCACAATGGACTGCGAGGGGATTCGGACTGGAGACATACAAATGAGAACTTCAGAAAATATGAAAGTCAACAACTCAATGCGAGCATAAGCATATTTCTGTCCCATTGACACCAGTGACAGTTAAGCATGCTTAGCCATGTGCTGATCTGTGCCCTATGACATTGGGATGCACTTCTATGACATAACATTTTTTTAAACCAAGTTTACAACAAATATGATAACAGACGAAACAATCAGCCCGGTTACCCCCGTTGCCTGTGTGTGCAGATGTTGCCATACACAGTGAGACTGGCTCAGAGACCTAAGTATTTATCTTGTACTTGCAGCATACAACTTATGTAGAGTTTGATTCAGATCAAGCCTATCGGATGCTGTGTGAGATTTGAAACCGAAACCAATGAAGGACTCTTATGGATTTCATGTGCATTTCAATATCCTCTTTTTATATTTAGCAAAGTAATAATGATAAGTAGGATTGGCACAGTGGCTGATCACAGTTACTACAAACATTTCATTTTCTCAAACCACTTCCCACCCCTTTCTGAAATGAACAGAGTTCACTCAGTGTGAGACTAGTTTCCTTACTGCCCCCCCGAACTGTTGGGAGATTGAATCACCCTACCATACAGATGTGGGTGCTATTATTATATAGAAATTTACAATACACACACACACACAACATAAATCCCACAAATGAAATAGGTACGATTTTTGCCAGTTCTTTAGCTAACCTGGTTTGATTAGTAAGCAACAGCAATTTGCATTTCAACTAAATGTCTTTCCCTGAGGTATATACTTTCTCTACAAATATATCCCAGCCACGACTACTACCAGGGCAACATCCTTCCCCCCCCCCCCAAAGTTAAGGATGCTTTAAAATTGCCTCAATAATAAAAAGGGGGGAAGCATTTAGGCATGTGGCAGAAAATGAAAGCCTTTCTTTGGAGACTCTGAAGATTTTGAATGGTACTTGTCAATAAAGCAACTCCCATTGTAGTCACACCGGAGATGTGGGCCTCACTCCATCCCGAAAAAGCTGTCGCAGAGATAGTAAGCTCATTAAAATATGAATAACAAGGCAGCCATCATTGTAACAAGAGAAAGGCATCTTACTTTGTATCAAACTTTTAGCTTATCATTTATTTATTTTTTGCAAAACAACAAGATGGTATATCCTCCCACCAAAATCCCTCCAACCCCCGTTGGTTTTTGTTGTTTGTGCAGATTTTAGCACTGCATGGACTTCTCCAAGTTTTTCCCAGATTTTTTTTTTTTAAAAAAAAATCCCACAGTGCTGCTGATCATTCAAAGCATGTCTGACATGGGGAGGGGGGGGGAGTAAGCTGATCTTTCCAATATTTCAAAATGCTGAAAGCGAGTGAGTGAGAGAGAGAGAAAGTTAATATCTGCTACAACACACATGGTCATGTGCACATAGAGAGGCAAATCAGTTCCAGAATATTTTAGCCAATTTTAAGCCCCACAATGGAGAATTCATTACAGGCTGCAGAGATGACACCTTCATAACAGTCAATTACAAGGAAGCTCATGAGCCAGTTCATTACTATGTCTCTGCTAATCTCGTTGTAAATTTGTGCCTTGATAGAGACCATAACCAGCCAAGAATGCAATTGGGTTGTGGGCATGGGATAAGAAAAATAAAAATGTAACGGCTGCAGATGGACATCTTCCAAAATCCAGAGTGCCAATCAAGTATTTTCCATGTGAAAGCCATTCTCTCTCTCTCTCTCTCTCTCTCTCTCTCTCTCTCTCTCTCTCTTTCCCTCCCGCCTTCCTCTTCCTCCGTCAGTGTTGCAGTATGTATGAATTATGCAAGCATGTTTACGTATGTTCAACCACCCATGTATCTGAGTAAGTTCACTTCTAACAAGCGTTCAGAAGTTAGTGACTTAACTGTGTGGAGGGGTGGGATTCCAGGAATTTGGAAACAAGTGTTTTAAAAAAGTGTTTCATGTCATTTAATCACAAGCTTTATAATTGACAAAAGTATTCCAATCATTTCCGATATTTATTAAGAGTCAATATTTAAAAGTGAGAACTCCAAAAGCCCCGTTCCCCCTTCCCCTTTGCTCTAGGCTAGAAGAGGAGAAACATGAATGCCGAACTACTCAAAAGGCTGATGGGATATATAATTAGCTATTATGTTAATTGAATCCACTGTGAGTTTGTTGTATGAGATTTCTTCATATAATATGCAAATGATCTCCAAGGTTTAGTTTTATTAGACAATATAATTAGAAATCCTTTTAAAGGAGAGAATTATAACGAGGCATAATAAAGGTTGGAAAAATGTGTTTGCTGTGTGGATCTACCACCTGGGCTTGCTTAATTAAAAAAGAGAGAGAGAGAGAGAGACTTTATTCACCAACAGGAAAATTTCAAAGAAAGTTATGCTTTAAAAAAACACAAGCTTATTACGAAAATGTGACGTTGAGCAGGAAACATTCATTCGCATGGAAACACAAATCCTGCCCCCTGTTTTAGCCAGCGAACATTGTTCACTCAGATTTATTTACCGTAATTTTTTTTTTTTAAAGTAGGAGTTTTCCCAATGGAAAACTGTGGTCACTTGTGTAGAGATGTATATAAGAGAGGCAAATTCATGGAGAAAGCCCCTCCCCCCATCATCGTTATTAAGAGTCGTGATCCGAGCAGAGGAAGGTACTTTAGCTTTTGTGCTGTAACTAATCAGCGTAACTTCATTTACAGTAACAAACACTGACATTCTAACATCTGGAATTAAAAGCCTTCCTCGATAGTGAAGAAAGGCAGGCTCTGTTACTCCAGAGCTGGCTGCATAAGCAACAGTTGCGTTCCACTTCATGTGAGACCACCACCAACGCCAGCCCTAAAACAATTTTTTCCGTGGTCCATTCCCGAATGCGCACTCATTGCACCAAGAAACAGTGACAGAATATCCAGTGTGTAATTCTAGGCTCATTCAAACAGCACAGCAGCAGCAAGAACAACCGCCGTATGCTATGTTATATTGAATATTGTATTCTTTCATGTAAAACAATTTTCATGTAAAATGATGTCCATGATAAAAACAATCAAGTTAACAGAGCAACGATCTGCCTTTGTTTTTACCTGTACTAAACCTCTGCAATAGTGAGATGGCCGATTTGGGAGTCGGAGGATGGGTGGGAACCTATGAGAGTCAGACTATGGAGGGAAGAGTTGACTGATGCTCTAGTGTCCTACTTGATAAACTGCGAGATACAAACACAAGGTTGTGTCCAACTCCGTTATACTTAGAGTAGACCCACTGAATTCATTAAGCTACGTTAGTCATGTCCATTAATTTCAATGGGAGTAACACTGGTTACTACAAGCCACAGAAATTAGAATGCAACAACTGGATCATTTAATTATCAGCAAGGAGCTGATGATTCTCAGCATAAAATGGATTTGTTGCTATCCGGTAGAAATAGAAAATAGAAAAGATTGAATCTTTTGCCTTGGGTGCTGCTGCCAAACCCCCGCACAAATAAAACATAGAGGTAGACTCGTACTATACTTTGTAAAGTAATGTCTGATCTTTTATAACCTACTAGCAGCCTCGTACCCTGCGCCACTTGGAAAATCTATGGCGCTGAAAAATATCAGTGCTGTAAACGAGATTAGTGGTTAAAATCAGGGAAGTTCTGAAATGGATCAGTACATCATGTTGATTCAAAATGGTGTCCAATGGTATCCAAACATAGATGAAAACCTGCTCCTTGATCTCAGGAACCATCGTGCAAAATTTGGTTGCAGTTCTTAAGAGGCGTCCAAATGAATAGTGAACAGACAAGCAACTTTCCAAAATATATCGTATTTGTATGATGATGCATACCTTGTTGTCTTTTGGTTAAGAACAGTGGCCTGAAAAATGTTAACCTAAGGCCCAACCCAAAGCATCTTTATTCAAAATAAAACTCCATGTTCAGTGGATTTCCCCCCCTTTTTCTTTTATTGATGACTTGGATGACGCTTGTTAATACGGCTGTGTGTGGTTTTTGTGTACTTTTCGAAGAAAAGGATGTGGGCAACTGATAACAGAGCTTCATCCAAGCCTGCTTGGCCACTGCGTTCTGTGGGGCTTAGTCTCATGTGAATGTGCAGAGGACTGTAGCCATGCAATGCTCTGCGTCCCCTTAGAGCCACCTATCGCTCCCCTGGGTCTGCCAAACATCTGCTGTCCTGCCCTCTCTATGCCACCAACCTCAATGGTCATCAGCAGTCGCCTCTGGCCTGCTGTTTATACCGTCTCGGTCCTGCAGGTTCCTTCTCCTTGGCTGTTCTGACTTTTCTCCAGGAAAAGCCATCCTCAGCATGCCTTCCTTTCCAATACTGTAGCCACGTCTTCCCATTCTGTGGTGATTCTCCTAGATGCCAGCTTTGTATATACAGTGGTACCTCGGTTTCAGAACAGTCCTGATTCAGTTTACAAACTCCGCAAAACTGGAAGTAGTGTCCAGTTTGTGAACTCTACCTCAGGCAAACGGTGGAAGGGCACCGGCAGCAGGAGGCCTCATTAGGGAAAGCGTGCCTCAGTTTAAGAACAGTTTCCGTTTCAGAACGGACTTCCAGAACAGATTAAGTTCATAAACCAAGGTACACTGTAGTTTGGTAGGAGCACACTGCTGAGTTTTGTTCCTTCTGTCTCTGTGGATCATTTCCAGTCTTGCAAATACCACAAGGGCTGTTACTCAGTAATAAAACGCATCCTGTTAATGCAAAAGGTACTGGATTCAATCCTGAAAACTCTGCAATGAGAGCTAGTGTGAGACAGTGCTTTGAGTGCTGGACATAGGAGTGGGTGACCTTAGGTCCAGTATTCTCCCTCAGCCTAACCTACCTCACAGGGTTGTGAGGACAAAAGCGGGAAAGGAAGAACCATGGATGGCATGTGAGCTCCTTTGGTGGAAAGGTGAGACATGAAGGTAATAAAAGGCAACGCTGGGGGGAAAAACTCCCAGCTGAAACTTGGGGAAGCTGCTGCCAGTCTGTGCAGACCACAGCAAGCACAATGAACTGTGAGTGGTCTGAATCAGTATAAGATACTTCCTCTCGTCTTCTGGAGGAGAGATGAACAGCTTGCTTGTTAAAGTGAATCAAGCTCCCTCGGCCCAGTATATCTGAAGGAGCGTCTCCACCCCCATCGTTCTGCCCGGACACTGAGGTCCAGCGCCGAGGGCCTTCTGGCGGTTCCCTCACTGCGAGAAGCCAAGTTACAGGGAACCAGGCAGTGGGCCTTTTTGGTAGTGGAGCCCACCCTGTGGAACGCCCTCCCATCAGATGTCAAAGAGATAAACAACTACCTGACATTTAGAAGACATCTGAAGGCAGCCCTGTTCAGGGAAGTTTTTAATGTGTGACATTTTGATGTATTTTTAATCTTTGTTGGAAGCCGCCCAGAGTGGCTGGGGAAGCCCAGCCAGATGGGCGAGGTACACATAATAAATTATGATGATGATGATGATGATGATGATGATGCAGTGTGAATTTGTTCACAGGGAACTCACTGGATGAATCTGTAAACTTTTTTTTTTAAGCCCCCCTAGGTGACTAAAAATCCACTCAAGGTGTGCCTCTGGAAGTCCAAGCCATCTTGGCAGGGCTGCAGCTCCGTAGTGAAGGGCACACTTTGCAGGCAGGATGTTCCAGGTTGACTCTGCAGTGTCTTTAGTTAGGGTTGGACAACAGTGGCCCAAACCTTGGAGAGCTAATGCCAGGCGGTACAGACTACATCGTCAAACAAGCCAGGAGGTGGATTTTCAGCATTCTTGCTGCGCCAGCGCCAAGGTATCATAGCACAGGGGCCCAAACTGGGCTCATCTCCAAGAGTCTGCATGGCCAGCTCCCTTCTGCCCCACCCTGGAACACCCTTTACTGGCAGTAGTGTGTGTCTGTGTGTCTCTGTGTGTGGCAGAAGCTAGGATTAGGGTTAGGATTGCCTCCTTGTCATTGCTGTTTTGAGTCAATAGCAGTTACGGAGGCAATCCAGACCAGGCCCAAGGGAAAGGGGAAGGGGATTTTCTCCTTGATGGATTGGGACACCAGCTCCCATCCTGCAGCTATTTACTTTGCGGCTGGGGGGAAATGCAGTTGCTAATTGTGTGGCTATCATCACAACTGTTTTAGCCCTCAGCACAGCTGCACCCACCAAAGGAAGTCTACAGAACATCACACATGGCTCCAGAAATGGTGTTTGCTCTCTTGTCCCCGTCCCATCAAGCTTCTTGTCAAGTCTTGCCAGTCGCCTACACGGGTAATGGGGAACAGCAATGTCACCACGGTGATAATGGTGGCTTCTGCTGCACTAGGACTCAGACTCGGATTCAGCCACAGCAGAAACACAAGGACTCTCCTGGTTTCTGATCCTATGAGTCATTGTCCCAGTGTGGCAACCGATAGGATCAGGCTGCCCATGCCAGTTTCAGAAAGTGGCGATAGGCAGCTAGAAGTGATGTTTGCTTAAATCCTGTTGATCTCAACTGAAGAAAGTCATTTTTGCGTCCCCTGCAGAAATAGTTGAAACTTGAAGGTGCTTCCCTTTGACTACTTAATACATTTACAGTGGTACCTCGGGTTACAGACGCTTCAGGTTACAGACTCCGCTAACCCAGAAATAGTACCTTGGGTTAAGAACTTTGCTTCAGGATGAGAAAAGAAATGGTGCTCCGGCGGTGCAGCAGCAGCAGAAGGCCCCATTAGCTAAAGTGGTGCTTCGGGTTAAGAACAGTTTCAGGTTAAGAATGGACCTCCAGAACGAATTAAGTTCTTAACCCGAGGTACCACTGTAGTACATTTTCTTAACTTGTAGCTAATCTTATGTATTCAGTCACTGAACCCCACCCCAAAGTATTGTCCAACATAACCTCCTACCTCCCCCAATTAAATCATATGCAGCACTGTCTACTTCAGCTAAAAATCAGTTTCGTTAGCGGCTCCTTTCCTGTGTGTTGTACACTGGCTGATTAACATATTGCTTACATTCTCTAATGGACATTCTAAAATTGCCCAACATGTGAATAATAAGCAGACAATCAGAGGAAAAGCAAAGCAATCAAAATACAAAACTATTCTCTGCCCCCTACCCACCCCGGTTCTGACTTTCCTCTCCCGGAAGTATAACGGTGAACTTCTGTGAGAGGCCTGAAGCAACCTTCAGATGCAGGAAAGTGCTTTTTGACATCTTGAGATCCTCCTCAGGGTGCTTCCACGCAGAGGCTTCGGGGGAGCAGCAGATGTGCCGAATCCATGGGATTCTTCTGAGTGCCTAAAACTGACAGTCTCTGGTGTGGCTGTGCCACTCCCGGATCCCCACAAAGAACTGCTGGTAGACCAAACCTGCCCCCCAAGCAAGGAAGTTCGGGAGAGGCAGCACGTGATGTGTAAAACCAGCAACAGGAAAATCACACACACATCACATCTCATTCTGTTTCAAGTAGCTTTAGTTTAAAACAATGGCACACAAGTTTTTTTTAAGAAACCAAAAAGGTTTTCCTTTTCGTGGTCCTTGGAAGCTATGCGGCATACCTGTTGCCCCTGAATTTGTATTTCCTGAAGATGAGAAGGTCCCGTGTGGGCAGGGCAGGCTCTCCATGCAGACAGACCGCGGGACAGAATAGGACAGCTCAAAGGGAAGTTGCTGTGCCTGTTCCCACAGACACTATAGCTCTACCCCCAATTTCTTCATTTTATAGTAGGAGGTTCAGGAGCACCCTCTCGGTTTGTATAGGGATTCATTTGGTTCTTCTAGAACAGGAAACGAAAATACCACTTGATGTGGAACACTTAAAGGGCCCTCCAGCTGTCTTTTTTTATCGTGCATTCACGATGATATGTGCTGGTGATGGAATCAAGGAGGTGATATGCAGTTCTGCTTTCAACGCTGTTTGCATCTGCAAAAGTTCTGGGGCAGACACACTGCTTCGTTTCCATACCCTCTGACACTGCTCCAATGAAAATAGCGATGTCCCGTTCCAGAACGATAATTTTACTATTTATACCCCACACATCTTACTGGCTTGCCCCAGCCACTCTGAGCAGCTTCCAAAATATATATAAAAACATAACAAAACACTAAACATTAAAAAAACTTCCCTATACAGGATTGCCTTCAGATGGCTCCAGGGCTGGATAACTCCATATCCTTCAACATTTCTCCAATGAAAATGGGGACATCCTAAAGTGGGACATTCTGGGATCAAATCCAAAACTGGGAGGGCTTCTCTAAATCAGGAACGTCCCTGGAAAATAGGGACACTTAGAGGGCCTGTGTTTCCAGTCACTGCGTGTACAGGTACCTTAATTTCCTGCTAAAATTCTGCAATGTCTTAAAGCATGGATGTTCCAGGTTTGCATTGGTGGGTGGCATGGGGTTGGTCCTGTTTTTGTTGCAGTATAGTGCTTGTATAGGGTGGCGCTATGGTCTAAACCACAGAGCCTAGGGCTTGCTGATCGGAAGGTCGGCAGTTCGAATCCCACGACGGGGTGAGCTCCCGTTGCTCAGTCCCTGCTCCTGCCCACCTAGCAGTTCGAAAGCACGTCAAAGTGCAAGTAGATAAATAGGTACCACTCCGACGGGAAGGTAAACGGTGTTTCCGTGCGCTGCTCTGGTTCGCCAGAAGTGGCTTAGTCATGCTGGCCACATGACCCGGAACCTGTCTGCGGACAAACACCAGCTCCCTCGGCCTATAGAGCGAGATGAGTGCTGCAACCCCAGAGTTGTCTGCGACTGGACCTAACGGTCAGGGGTACCTTTACCTTTATACTGCAAGGTTTCCTATCCAGGTGGCAATAATGCAATACCACTGAGGAACCATCGCAAAACTAATAAAGCGGAATGTGTGGACAGCCTAAGTAGGAGAAATCCACTATGAATGCACTTTTGCATCAATGACATCTTGTAGAATATTCCCACAAGGAAACCACGTCCAGAGGGGTCTCTCATGCTTTCCCATACTACATCCATTGTACCCATGTCTCCTATTTAGCAAAACCAGAAACACAAACACAAAAAGCTTCCATGGAGAGGTAGCCTTAGGTCTTGCCTACAGAGCAATGGTGTCGTTTCAGAGGGTTGGTGGTGCCTGTTGGTTTGTTGAGCTGCCGCCAAGCCAAACGTAAACCTAGTGTTTGCACCATCCCTGTCCCCCACAAAAGAGGCTCCCCCCAGGCCTTGCTTGGTGGTGCTTGCCTGTCATTCTCAGAGACTGTCCTTTACAAAATTATTTTGTTTGACTCTCACAGGAAAAGATACAACTGTGCAAAAACGAATGCTGTATGTTTGTGAAACTGCAGGAGGAATCACTTTTGAGGGACTTCAAAGGAAGAAGAGCCGGTATTCAGGAAGGAATACTATTTGTGTCACACCAGGAATGTCTTTTTGCTTTCCCAAGATTTGACAGACTACTGACAGGTAAGCACAGAGTCCTGGTGGAAGTGCTAGCTATTCCTAGAACCAGAGTTCCTTCTCCCACTTTTCATATTTTTTGGTATCACATCCAATTTTAGCTGGGATATTTACTCATCCTGGAAGTGGCGCAAATTAAGGACTCCTGCAGCTCCCCCAGCACACGAACACCATTTCTGGTGGTAATTCCCAGGTGCCTTTTGCATCGCAAATGTTGCACATCAGCCAAGCTCTCTAATTCAGCACCTTTATGTGGTGAACAAGGAGTGCACAGACTAACCCACATCAAGGGTACAAGAGATACCCAACAATTGTAACGCAGTATCTCCCAGTGTGGATTTGCCATCCCTTTTGCAACCAGTCCTTTGATACATTGCATTCTTCTTATGAGGGACGCGGGTGGCGCTGTGGGTTAAACCACAGAGCCTAGGACTTGCCGATCAGAAGGTCGGAGGTTCGAATCCCCACGACGGGGTGAGCTCCCGTTGCTCGGTCCCTGCTCCTGCCAATCTAGCAGTTCAAAAGCACGTCAAAGTGCAAGTAGATAAATAGGTACCGCTCTGGTGGGAAGGTAAACGGCGTTTCCGTGCGCTGCTCTGGTTCGTCAGAAGCGGCTTAGTCATGCTGGCCACATGACCCAGAAGCTGTACGCCGGCTCCATCGGCCAATAAAGCGAGATGAGTGCCGCAACCCCAGAGTTGGCCATGACTGGACCTAATGGTCAGGGGTCCCCTTTACCCTTTTATTCTTCTTATGCCATGTTGGGGCAGCACTGATAGAAACAGACAGCTGAAATGTGTCATTTATCTAAAATGCTCAACCATTATTTTATAAATAAAACTTCATTCTAGCAGCTGACTAGTACTGGAAAACCAGCATTCTGCAGAATCAGTTTCACACACACACACACACACACACACACACACACGTATGTATGTAGACTCCACCCCAGACCTGACTGGCCTAATTCTGACAGGCTCAGCCTGGCCTTGCCCTATCCAATTCCACCTTCAGCCTGAAGGGAACACTATTTTGGAAATCAAACGTCTGCGCTGTAATAATGTATGAGTGGTCACAGGCACTGCCTTCTAAAACACAAGGGGAGAGAGGCCAGACCTAAAGTGACTTGCACCAAAGTAGAAATCTCTGCAGCTATGGAGTCCAAAACGTGCCGGGCCCTGCCAAGAAAACTCGCAGGCATTATGCAGAAGGAGCCAGCTGGCCACGTATGTGAAAACCAAGCCAGGAAACTTTGTATGGCTTGTGGGTATGAACACAGACAGCTGAAAGGAAGAGGGATGAAAGGTTTGCTGACATTCCACTCAACCTTAACCATCCTTTATTCACCAAAAATAATGGTTAACTGCAGGGGACTTGGCGCATGACCCCATTCATCCGTCCTTCTATACTAGCCGGGGGTGGGTGGAGGGAGAGAGAGATACAATAAAGTGCAGTGCAGTGGACTCTGTCATTTAATGCTATTCTGGATGGATGGAAAAGGGCTTCAGGTGGAAGAACAGAACAGGGTGGAAAAGAGAATACATATCCCATCCGTATACATACATAAATACGAATCGTCAACAAAGGGGTTCTTCCACATTCCAAGCCAGGAGGCGACCTTGCAATGTATACTATTAACTGGAAGAGGGCAGATAATGTGCATACTTCAAGACTAATCCGTAACCTGCATTCTTCGCCAGAGCCTCAGATTCCAAACACAGAGTAGACGCGCATTTATTGCTACAATATTCTCATTTGGAATGTCTGGCCATCAAATATGAATGCCAAAAAACGCCAACAAGAATAAGTATGACCTAGAAAAGTCTTCAGGCGTGGACTCCGAAACTATCACACTTGAGAAAACAGAATGCATCTGCGTCTTTAAAAAAATCCCAACAATAGTCCTTGGGAACTAATTCTCAGCTGCTTCAGGCAGGCAGTTAAAGTATCCTTCTCTGCACACACCTTTGGCCGGCGTGGAGCATGGCAGAGGCATTTTCCACCACACCTAAAACATAATGTGTGTCAAGGACATTTGATTCCTACAGTCCTTCCCTTTACAAAAAATGTATGTGTTTTCTTCTAGCAGCAGCTAGTCAGGTAAACACATTGCTGTGAGGGGAAAATGGCAAAAAAAAGTCATTTTGCGTTCTGAACACTTACTGTGGTACATTTCGCTCCTAACCTCTCTGTTGAAAGGACTTTTATTTTCAAAAGCAGGCCTGTGAACCTCTTTTTTTTTTCTCTCTCTCTCTCTCCCCCCCTCACTTTTAGCTAAACCTGATTGAAACAATGACTCAACTTCCTTCCAAAATAAATTCTTTTTTTGGGGGGGCGGACTTGTATTTTTCCACATTCCCCCCCTCTTTGGGGTAATTTAACCTTGTGGAGACAGAAATATAGCAAACAAATTCTGCACGGACTTATCAGCTATCACTTAAGAGAGACAAAGAGGATTATCACCACAGCTGTCAGGAAAGGCAGCTCTCTTGCACAACATTTACAGGTACCAAAGGTCATGTTCGTATCATAGCCTTTGGGGACCAGGCACATATCTCTGAAGAATTAAGTCCTTTGCTGAAATAAACAGAGTCTAATGATTGATTTAAACATTGAAAACAACTTCATGAAGGAGACAATGAGAGGGAGGGACAGAGGGAGAGAACACTGGTAAATGGACAAACAAATCATTTCCTCTCTTTCTTTCTTTTTAAAAATATGCTTTAATTAAAGGATTTCTTAGGGAACAAAAGTACATATGGTGTCTCTGTTTTCAGATAATAGAGTCCTTTCACACAGGTCGGTTACATTCAGAGCGAGACATTACTGTTATAGGTAATATGGATGCGCTTGCACAAGAGAAATGGACTATTAGCAGCGCTGTTTTTCTAGACAAAGATGTGCTGGAGCACACCATGAACTACTCCCTTGTTCTCTTAGAATGGCAATGGCGCCCACCTGAGAGGGGCCAAAGCTGACCGTCAGTGGGCTCTGGCTGAAAAAAAAGTCCTAGTAGCAGACTTGGGAGAATTCTACCATTTGCAAAATTACAAAATTACAAAAACAAACAAACAAAAGCACTCAACATTTAAGGGGAAATGCCCTAAGGGTAGAAAACCCTCAAAACAGCCCAATGAAGACCAAGTGTAGAACCCACCATCACAAGCAGCATTACTTCTGTTCCCTATTCATGGTTGGGGTCTTGAATCCAGGGATCCCTAGTCATAGTCCAAAATTACAACTCCCACATCATATTTTCCATGGGAGTGAGTTGTGTTCTTAAAAGTACAGTGGTACCTCTGGTTGTGAGCGGGATCTGTTCCGGAGGCCCGTTTGCAACATGAAAGGAACTCAATCCACAGCGGCATGTCTGCGCATGTGCGGGTTGCGTTTCATCGCTTCTGCACATGCGCGTAGCCTCATTTTGCGCATCTGCGAGCGGGGAAACCCGGAAGTAACCCTTTCCTGTACTTCCGGGTCACCGCGGGACGCAACCTGAAAAAACGTAACATGAAGCAAACGTAATATGAGGTATGACTGTATACGGTAACTCACAAAGGTAGATCCTAGCCTCAGACCATGAAGTTTCTGCTTATGTTCTGGAGTCTCTTGCGAATGGCCACCTCTGGCTTGTTCACACAATACACTGACCACAGGCGCATGATGCTTGCATGATGAGAACTGCAATGGACTGCAAGTGTAATGGACAATCGTCATGAACCGGAAGGACAACGGGTAGGAGAAAGAGGATCGTGGCGAGGGGTGTGGCTGGGACTGGGACACACCAGGGAAAACGAAATGGGTGTGGAGAGGTTGGTGTAGAAAGTACTCATGCGGTGACAGAGGATGACAAGGCTCCAACCACTCAATTCCACCCCACCCACCAGTCAGTGAGCATTCCCCTTGCCCACTGAGCATGCTCAGGCCCTCCCCCAGCTGTTTTGGGTTCTTCCCACCCTTAGGGTTTTTTATGCAGAGCATTGAGTGCTCCTGTTCAGCTCACTTGCATGATATTCCTTTCCCTCCCTCCTTCCTTGAGGACTGCTACTCAAAGAATTGATATTGGCATTAGTAATTTATGCTACAAGATAAAATGTTGGTTTGCCTCATCACTCCCCAAAATGCTGAAGTTTGAAGCGAGCCCTTTGGGAAACTCATGCAATAGAACGTGGGTGGTAGAATTTGAAGTGACAGGGGGATTTCATATTTCCCAGCAGATCCAAATGTTCATTACTCTTAATAAATACCTGGATTCAAATGTGTCTGAATTGAAGTTGTTTTTGTTTGAATACCTCCTGTGGGGATAAGGGTTTAATAAATTAGGAGAGTTAAGCAACTTCGAGTAACTTACTAGACAAAATATGCTGTTTGTTCAAATTTGAGTTGAATTAATCTACACTGGTTTTATTTGGTAGCTCATTACAGTCGGATGCTGTCATGTGTGTCTGTTATGTGGGTTTGCTTGGGTTGTTTTTTTTTTTGGTTTTTTGCTTTAAATGTGCTTTTAGTTGTGATGAATCAGCAGCTAAAGATGTCTTATCCACTCATTTTATCACCGGAATGATTTAATCTGTTTTTATAATTGTATATTTAATTGTTATAACCCACCTTGGGGCTTTATGGTGAAGGACGGGGTGAGAAATATTCATTTGCATCTTGTAAAAACAATGTTTAAAAATAGAGTTAGATCCCTATATATCTGCAACCACAATTTTTTTTAAAAGGAAAACACTTTCTGTCAATTCCGTAGCACACCAAATAATTTTAAAAATTGGTACCACTGAACTGCCTTCAAGCATTGCAAGTGGATTTTATCTGAACTTCAAAGTGAAGAATCACTTTCACCACTAGTGGGAAGCACTGGCCAACCCATCTGCGACTTGACCCTGAATGTCACGCAGCGATGGCCTTTGCTACATCTCCTGTGCTAGGAGACTGAGGACTCGGGAGTGCAATGGGCCCAGGTGCTGAAGCCTGACAGGCAGGGGTTTTGCTCAGTGGTCTTCAGCAGGTGGGGCCTGGACCTCAGGTGGGCTGCATGACAGCAATGCCTTCACCTTATTTTCTGCCGCAGTTTACAGTTTTTAAGAAAAAGGAAAAACAGAGCAAAAGAAAAAGAGGAGAGAGGGAGAAAGAACCATAATCAACATCGATTATTTCTAAAGAACCTCAAAAGAGTTACATTACGAAGGAAAAAAGTTACCGAGAGAGATGTTAGGAGACCCTACAACTCCCAGCACGTTTAACAAAGTGCAGTTCCTGGGATTCTCTGGGGGAAGCCATGACACTTAAAAGTGGTATGTGTAGTGGAAAATGCGCAAGGAAAAATTGAGGAGGTGTAGGTTTGGCCTTATTCAGCCAGCCCTATCTGTGAGTCCTTGCAGGAGCACTCCTGCCCTTGAGGGTGGCCCTGCTAGGCCTTGTTTGCCCTGATGAGGAGCCCCAATTGCCACAGGTGGCCCACCTGGTCGAGGCAGGAACAGATAGTGCAGGGCAATGTGGTCAGGAGGAAGAAGATGATCTGGTGTTGTATGTGGGTCAAGGTCTGGTGGGGGGAATTGTTTCTTTGAAATTGTTCCTTTGGGGTTATTTCTTGGTGGTAGAGGGTTTGGTATTACCGTGTAAGAAGGTTTAAGGAGGTTTCCTGTTTGAGGGGTTTTGTTTTTGTTACTGTTTAAGGAGGTTGTCCTATTCTGTTGAAATAAAAATATCTTTTCCCTCGACTACTGAAGATCCTTTAAAGAATCTGCAGAGTTAATTGGCAAAACAGTATGAGATTGCTTTAAAAGATGCTACTTGAGTGATAGGTTGCATAGACTGGCCTTTGTTCTGCCATACCCAGGCTCATCCTGATTCTCTCTTGAGGGAAGAGAGGGACAAGGATAGATCAGCAAAAGGGTGCATGTTCTGAATGCAGGAAGTCCCAGGTTCAGTTCCTGGCTCAGAGAGCAGGTGATGGAAAAGAGATCTGCCTGAGAGCCACCATCAGTCAGAGGAGACATTTGTGGGTTAGATGGTGTGAGACATCTCCCTATCATGAATGCTGAATCTGGAGGGGACAATCATAAATGTCACTTTGGCCAAGGTGACTAGATGGGCAGGAACTAGATTTGTCAAACTGCTGTCTTTCCCTTATATCTCACAGACGTAGGCATTGGGCAACATGAAATGTATTGCTGGAAGATGCTTCCTGTTTTAAAGAAATGTTGTTGGCCCTGTTGCGGAAGCAGCTTAATTCTCAGCTTTCAGTTTCATCATCTCCTACCTGCATGATGCAATCCCACCCAAACACTAGAAACAGAATACTATGCCCAGGGAAAGGTTTCACAACCTTGATGGCAGAAAGTGAGGAGAAATTAAAGAACCTTTTAATGAGGGTGAAAGAGGAGAGCGCAAAATATGGTCTGAAGCTCAACATCAAAAAAACGAAGATCATGGCCACTGGGCCCATCACCTCCTGGCAAATAGAAGGGGAAGAAATGGAGACAGTGAGAGATTTTACTTTCTTGGGCTCCATGATCACTGCAGATGGTGACAGCAGCCATGAAATTAAAAGACGCCTGCTCCTTGGGAGAAAAGCAATGACAAACCTAGACAGCATCTTAAAAAGCAGATACATCACCTTGCCAACAAAGGTCCGTATAGTTAAAGCTATGGTTTTCTCAGTAGTGATGTGTGGAAGTGAGAGCTGGACCATAAAGAAGGCTGATCGCCGAAAAATTGATGCTTTGGAATTATGGTGCCGGAGGAGACTCTTGAGAGTCCCATGGACTGCAAGAAGATCAAACCTACCCATTCTGAAGGAAATCAGCCCTGAGGGCTCACTGGAAGGACAGATCCGGAAGCTGAGGCTCCAATACTTTAGCCACCTCATGAGAAGAGAAGACTCCCTGGAAAAGACCCTGATGTTGGGAAAGATTGAGGGCACAAGGAGAAGGGGACGACAGAGGACGAGATGGTTGGACAGTGTTCTTGAAGCTACCAGCATGAGTTTGACCAAACTGCGGGAGGCAGTGGAAGACAGGAGTGCCTGGCATGCTCTGGTCCATGGGGTCACGAAGAGTCGGACACGACTAAATGACGACAAAGGGTGGACCCAGCAACATTAGTGGTGATGACCAAAGTAAGTCCATTAATTTCAATAGGCCTACTCTGAGTAGAATTTGGTTGGATGTAATCCAAACTCTCTCCAGCATGTCAGCATTTAGCTATCAAGCTGAGTTCAAGGTGCTGGCCCTGATGTGCAAAGCCCTATGGGGGCAGGATACCCCAAAGAGTACTTTGCCCTATATATGCCCAATCAATCACTGTGCCCTACAGGAGTAGGTCTCTTATCAGGAGGTCTGCCCCATACAATGTTGAAATTGGGCCTTTATTTTATCCGTATATGTTTTATTCTTATAGCACACCCTGGGACCTCACTGTGATGGGCAGGTACAAAATCTAATAAAACAAAACAAACATTTATTTAAAGAGGGCTGGGTGGATTGACAGGTAGGTGGTGGGTCCTGAGCAGAAGAGAAAAAACACAGTCCCGTGTGGCTCTTTTGCATGCTTAATATTGGATTGCAATCTCTTTTGGGGGACACATAATCTGCTAGACATGTGCATACCAGTCACACAAACTTATACCCATATTGGAAGTAAAACAACAAGACCTGCAATAAGTTACCTGACCTAATGCAGAAGGGAGGGGCAGACAGCAAGGCAACTTATTCCTCCCCCACTGATTTATTCTACCTGTGGATTATTTTTCCTCAGGTTTTACTTCCTCCCTCCTCCTCCAGCCAGTTAGTATCAGACCTTTCTTTGGTTAACCAACATGACTCCACGATGGCCACATGTGAGCTTGTATACACACACACACACACCAAACTCCAACAACGCAGACACGGAGTCAGTTGCTACATGTTTAGCTTTTGTCAATCATCCCCTGCCTCCCCAGTTCAGAAAATAATTTATTAAATAGCTTCTGCCCCCTGGTACAACCTCTGGTGATTAGGGAAGGACCATATCTCAGGGGTAGAGCAGAAGATCCCAGACTCAGTCCTCAGCATAGCCAGGTAGGGCTGGGAGAGACTCCCTGTCTGAAACCCACCCACCTCTTCTAATAAACAGAACCAGGCCAGGAATGTCACCAAGGAGTCACCAAGAATGTGCCATAGGTCTACAGAGTGCTTATAAGGGCCTGGCTGTAATAATAATAATAATAATAATAATAATAATAATAATAATAATTTATTATTTATACCCCGCCCATCTGGCTGGGCTTCCCCAGCCACTCTGGGCGGCTTCCAAAAAAATATTAAAATACTGTAATACATCAAACATTAAAAGCTTCCCTAAACAGGGCTGCCTTCAGATGTCTTCTAAAAGTCTGGTAGTTATTTTTCTCTTTGACATCTGGTGGGAGGGCGTTCCACAGGGCGGGTGCCACTACCGAGAAGGCCCTCTGTCTGGATCCCTGAAACTTGGCTTCTCGCAGTGAGGGAACCGCCAGAAGGCCCTTGGTGCTGGACCTCAGTGTCCGGGTAGAACGATGGGGATGGAGACGCTCCTTCAGATATACTGGGCTGAGGCCGTCTTTGTATTCCCATTGAACCAGCAGGGAAATAAAGGAGGAGTCATGCTCCGATGACACTTGGCTGAGTGTTGGGCCTAACGAGCACAGCAGCTCATCCCCGGTAGGTTTTGCCCCATGAATCAGTTGCCAAGACTGAAAGTCCCCACCTCTCCACAGCCGTCTAAGTCCCCTCCTCTCCAGGGTTTCCCCCAAGCAATCAGAGACTGTGCTTGCCTGAAGCCAACCTCTCCTCCACCTTTTTTATGCCTCTTCTGGTTCTGGGAGACAAGTGGGGAGGGGAGCTTGTCACATCAGGAGGGGGAGACACCCAGTACTCTTCACCAGCCTGACCTCTTGGCCTCCCTCCTCCCCTGCTTCAACTTCTGCCTATGATTCTTGCTTTCTGTCTGCCACAGACCCTCCCAGCTCACTAAGCCCTGTTACCCCTTCAGCTTCTGACAACCCCTCTTCGCAGTCTTTCCCCTCCTTTCTCTCTGACCACTCATTGTCGTCCTACCACCAATCCCCTGCCTCTGAGCCTTCTTCCCTTGGTGGTTCCCCAGCTGGTTCCTCCAACCATTCCTTTGTGTCCAACCAGCCCATGACATCATGGGACACAAAGAGGAGTAAGACTTTGTTGCCTTCATCTCCTGTCCCTCTGGCAACTGCTCTCAGCAGCAGAGTCAGGGACATCAAGGCAGGCCTTTGCCTCCTAAGGCAAAATTTCATAAAATTTATATACCACTTGACTGTAAAAAAGGCAAAACAAAACCTCAAGCAGTTTACCAAAAGAATGAAACAATATAACTATTTTAAACATTAGAATAATAATTAAAATTAGTGATAAGCGAAAACTGATATTTGGAATTCATTTCTATAAACACTGTAATAAGTTAAATAACAATCTTGTAATATTTATAAGTTAGGTTTTTGTTTTGTATTGTATATGGGTGTCATTTCTTCCCCCCTTTCCATGTCTTATTTTACCCTGTGCACTTACAATTATATACACATTACTTTTTCTCTTTCAATAAAGAATACACACACACACACACACACACACACACACACGTAAACAGTCTCCATTTCTGGTTAGGCTTGTCTCAACAAAAATGTTATGATGTGCTATGCATAATTTTCTTTTGATTTCCTTTGATATTGTTGCTATTCTTACATCTTTCACAAACTGAAATGAACCAGCCATTTGCAACTCATTTTATAAACCGGTCATAACCCGCTTGCCCACTGGGACAAATTTGGGGCCTTGCTTCCAGTTCTGAACCAACGTTCTTCAAGAAGTGCATGAACAGAAGACATTCATGGTGAGCAGAATAAATTGAACAATTTGCCCAGGGATAAGATCTTAAGACTCTCATGACCGGGGAAAGCTGCCCATGAGAGCTGACTCTGAGTAGAGACTTCTACTCCATCTCATCCCTCCTCCTCACTCTCTCTCAGTGCCTTGTGTGGTTCTGATTGTCTATATTAAAAAAGAAAAAAGAAACAGTCTAGCAATGGAACAATACTACCCTCTCAACATTTAAAAGCCCACCTCCAAAAATAAAAGGTCCTGGAAAAAATACCTCAGTTTCAAGCTCATAGATTACTTTGGCTCCCAGAGGAAAGAGAAGCAATTTACTGGCTGCTGGTCTTACCAAGGAAAAGGTTAGAAGATTAAGAGACCAACCGCTGTTTGGATAAGTGGTTGGTAATTGCACATGCTGGCAATTATTACATACCTCCATGTCTCTCCCTCTTACCTTTTTCTTTCCTCTCGTGCCATCAGGGTTGAGCCGAAATGTCCCCGAATTCACAGTCCTCTTTGGACCTATTTTCTTGATGTCATAGGCCAGCTCATCAGCAAGGGCCTTGCATGCTGGGGTGGGAAACAGAAACATACATACGAAAAGGACACATCACTAGCACTGTGGAAACTGCAGTAGTAAAAATATAGCATGTACATTTTTGCAGAGGAACAAGGTCTATCCAAACAGAAGTTTCCTGTTCTTGCTCATCTATCCTGGACAGTTCCTTCTCCTCCTCCTTTAAGCAGTCCCTTCCCTTTGGGACCCGATCTTCTAGCTAGCCTTGTCTGTGTACCTGTCTCAGGCCCCTCTGATGTTTGTGGACTGCCCTGGACCTTGAGTCCAGCTGTATCTGGACTATATACTCACCTCTGGCCCTTCTAACTGGACGGTGGCTTACAACCCTGACCCTGGACGGCTCTAACAGTGACCACCTATTTGTGTCTGACTTATTAGGGGTTTGTTGCATGTCTGGCACCATGAAAGCAGGGAGGTTGTCAAGTAAACGGCCCTATAATACAAGTGTGATTGGCTGCATTTGCCTTGATAGACCACAAGCTATGTAGGCACCCAGTATTGTAATCAGACCATCTGAAAATTATCACATTGTGCCAGCATTGCTCAAATGTTAGGAATAGAAACTTCTCCGCTAGAATTGAACTTCCTTGCTTTCTTAAGGAGAGATTTACAGGCATGTCCAAAGTCCAAAGCACACATTCTGCTCATGTAGAAACACCAGGCAGGCCCCCCAAACAACCCAGAGATGCATTTTAAATAAAAGGACACATTCTACTCATGCTGACCATCCACGGGCCGGATTTAGAAGGCAATTAGGCCGGATCTGGCCCCCAGGCCTTAGTTTGCATACCCATGCTGTATAGGGAGGTTTTTAAAAAAAATGTTTAATGGTTTTATATATGCTGGAAGCAGCCCAGAGTGGCTGGGGCAACACAGTCAGATGTGTGGGGTATAAATAATAAAATTCTTATGGAATATGACATCCCTCTTTTCATCGGAGAAATGTTGGAGGGTATGCTATGTCCTTATGTTTGATACGTTTCTAGAATATCTCCCCAGTTTTGAATGAACTGAATTAGCTACTAAGTCGTTTTCCAGGCACAACTGAAGGCTTCTTTTATTTATTTTACTTTTTAAAGCTCTTAACATGATCTGCATCCAAGTTCCCCAGTCAGAGGCGCCATCCCAGCAATGACCAGGTGTTGGGGATAAACAATAGTGAACGACCATCTTTCTCTCCCACTTGCCAGCAATATTAAAAATTCACTTTTTAGACACAGAACATATATCCAGAGTTTTCTGAAAAAATTATGGGGGTAAGAAATATATCCCTCTGTATGTGTGTATGCGTGTGTGTTTAAAGACATAAAAAGGAGGAATGAAATTCTCACAAAACAAGATACCTCTGCCAGCTGTGGCTGTAGGAGAAATACAATATCGTGGGGGTTGCCAGCAAGCTGCGGACTCACAGGTGTTAAGGATGTTAAGGACTATGGACACTCTTCATCATTTGTCATCCCCGTTTAAACAAAAGCCTAATGCAGAAGTTAGAATTAAGAAGCGAAAGAAGCACCGCCAGGCATGCAAACCCGGCTTTATGGCCAATTCTGCCCATGAAATAGCACACCAAGGCACCGAATCCAGTCTTTGGATCAGCCAAAACATTTATTTTTACAGCTCCCAGGGCTATGCTGGAAAAGATTCAGCTGCACCCAGAGGAAGGGTGGATAATTCCATTGTGGAATGGGGCACTCAATAATTCCTTTAAATGCGCGGTCTCTAACATCCCCTCCCCTGCAACGAATAATCCTTCGAAATTGGGGTCTCTCCCACTCCAAGCCTCAGTACAGAGGTGGTGCGTCTTTTCCCAGGCTATTTCATCATGTATTTGCATATCATAAAAAATTGGCCCGTAGAATGCATGGGGGGGGGAGGAAGGAAGGAGGGGGATGAAATATTAAGAGAGTTGTTTACATGGAAAGTGCATTCCAAACTATATGCAGACACACACAGAGAGAATAACACTTTGAGACTATAAAATATTAATATATAGCTGGGCCTGGGTGTCTCCATAGTACCTCCTCCTGAGAATAATTCTTGGAAAGAAGCTATGAGCATGAGAATCGTCTCATGCGCAGCATCTGAAATGTCTACGGCACAGATGACGACAGCCATTTCATTCAGGGGCTTGATGGTGCAAATTGAGAGAAGCCAACATTTTTACCGCTGCTTGGGCCTGTGATGGCAGCACCTGGGGACTTTGTGTGCCGAATGCAGAGGCAGATAAAAAGTCCCACTCACAATTTATTCGTGTTTGTTTGCTTTTAAAAATGTTATTTACAATTTATTTGCTCCGCCTGCTTCTTCTGGTTTCAGGGCCAAAGAAGACAGGACAGGGGCCAGCTGGGATTCTGTCTTCCATGGCTTGTGAAGTTTCTTTCTAAAGGCAAAGCAGTTGGGGGAAGCAAGTAACTTCAGGGAAGTAGCACAGCAGAAGTGGTTTTTAATCCACTAGCACCCAAAGGTGCTGTTTGTCCCATGGAGGTGATGGTCAATCAGGGATGGTTGGATCTATCGATTTCTGGTTTTTCTCATTTTTCCAGCCTTCAGTTTTTTTCTCCACATTTCCACATCACATCACATCACATCACATCACTTTTTTATTTTATTTTTTAAAACACCTCATGAAAATCAACATTTCAAAAATAATTGTAATAGAGAGACTTTGGGTAATAGGTAATATTATGCGGTAGAAAAGGTTTGAGTAAAAATGCTGCAGTGGTGAGGGTGGGAGTCAACTTATGAAACAATGTATTTTATTTGAAGGTTATTGTGAAAATGTTTGGAAAAAGTAATAAAAACTTACATATATGCAAAAGAAAGAAAACGAGCATTTCAGTGCAAATTTCTCCCAGTATACACATTTTTAATGCAACTGTGCCTACTATAAACATTTTCACAAAGCAATTTCACGTAACATAACACATTTCGGTATGCAATTTTCAGTAATATATGAATTCATATGTGGATGCTACCCAAGCGTACGCATTTTTGTACACCTTTCCTGGTTGCAAAACTGCATTGCAAGATTTGGAAAAGCGTGAATTTCTCCTGGCTGCTTCCTCCTTGTTCTCCTCAGCTTAGAACTTTCAGACCTGATCTACCCATCACACAAAACGAGGCAGTAGAATGGAATGGCCGAAATCCCAGCTTGTACCACTTTAGACCAGGCTGTACCGCTTCATGTCTTTGAATGGCTCCCCATGTGAAAAAGAAATTCCTGCAGGTTGCAAACTAGCCTTTTGCAGAGGAAGGTTTGGTGTAGCCTCTTGCATGATGTGCTAGTGGTGGCTTGGAACTTGGAGCCCCGGTGTGTGTCAAAGATCAAGCTTGCAGTGGGACCTGACCCTTGGGAAAGCCAGCCTGCACACCACCACCACCTCTGGCCAGAGGAGGGAACTACATGATGACCAACTGGACATAAGCTTTTTTCCCCACAACAGTAGGCTAAAGTGAGTCCAGTGACGCAAGTGGAACAGGTTAGTGGTAGAGCATCTGCTTTGCATGCAAATGTTTCCGGGTTCAGTCCCTGGCATCTCCAGGCTGGGAAAGATCCTGGAGAGTCACAGCCAGTCAATGTAGACCAGGGATGGAGTACCTATGGCCCTTCAAATGCTGCTGGACTCCAGGTCCCATCACTGCTGGGCAGCAGGGCCAATGCTCTGGGAGGATGGGAATTGTAGACTGAAATTGAATTGAAATACTTTATTGTCACTTGTACAACTTGTATACAGTGAGATTACACAAGCACCCCTCCAGCTCTCTTAGTCTTAATTCCCCTCATTTACTGACGCACACCCACCAAACCCAAAAGTCAGTTGCCCTGTTGTGATCTTTTCATTCAGCAGCCTAACAGCCCACAGATAGAAGCTGTTCTTTACCCTGTTGGTGCGACTGATCCTGCTTCTATATCTTCTGACTGAGGGCAGGAGATCAAGAAAGTGCCGGCCAGGGTGTGAATCACCCCTGAGAATTTTCCTCACTCTCCTGAGGCAACGTTGGTCTGCGATGTCATCCAGCGGATTCACGGGACAGCCCATAATATCTTGTGCTGTATTCACCACCCTCTGTAGGCACTTCCTATCAGTTGATGTCAAACCAGCGTACCACACTGTGATGCAGTATGAAAGGACACAGGCCCCCTGTCCCCCCCGATATAGACAACAGGACCCTCGATGGACCAATGGTCTGCCTCAGTACAAGTTACACAGCACACAGCTTCATACATGACACTCCATGAGCCATACAAAAACTAGATTGCCACCAGCCTTTTCTTTTTCCACCAGCACTGCTTCTGTGGTCCTTGACTGCTGCTTAGTCTGCAGACATGGGCTGACCATGCTTATATCTCTGCAGCATGGAACACTTCAGCTGCTGATCGCTGCAGATTGTTGGTGTATCGATCTGTCTCAAGAGACAATGGAGTGAAGTCAAACCTCTGTGTTAGCAGCACTGAGGTGAGCTCCCTGGGGCACAAGCCTGGGCAATGTGTCTGGAAGTCCTGGTCTGCCCAGACGACAAGACCCCCCTCTCAACCTCACTGATGTGGTCCGAAGGAGAGCAGAGCAATATGTCTGGCACCAGCTTGGCCGCAGGAGTTGCCAGAAGGAGGCGGGCAGACATCCCTAGCCCTAACCTGGAGATGTCAGGGTTGAACTCAGGACCTTCTGGATACAAAGCAGATGCTCTGATGTTGAGCTGCTCAGCAAAACTGGACCCAAGACCCTTGGGATGCAGGTTTAAGATGCAGCTAGGCTTTCCTCAAGCAGCTCTCCCTAACTTTGACCAATGTTGTCGGGCGACAGCTCCCATTGTCTCTGACCATTGGCCACATTAGTTGGGGCTGATGGATGTTGTTGTTTAGTCGTTTAGTCATGTCCGACTCTTCGTGACCCCATGGACCAGAGCACGCCAGGCACTCCTGTCTTCCACTGCCTCCTGCAGCTTGGTCAAACTCATGCTGGTAGCTTCGAGAACACTGTCCAACCATCTTGTCCTCTGTCGTCCCCTTCTCCTTGTGCCCTCCATCTTTCCCAACATCAGGTCTTTTCCAGGGAGTCTTCTCTTCTCATGAGGTGGCTAAAGTATTGGAACCTCATCTTCAGGATCTGTGCTTCCAGTGAGCACTCAGGGCTGATTTCCTTAAGAATGGATAGGTTTGATCTTCTGGCAGTCCATGGGACTCTCAAGAGTCTCCTCCAGCACCATAATTCAAAAGCATCAATTCTTCGGCGATGAGCCTTCTTTATGGTCCAGCTCTCACTTCCATACATTACTATGTTGTTGGGTACCAGCTCCCATTGTCTCTGACCATTGACTACATTAGTTGGGGCTGATGGACACTGCAGTCTAAAACATCTGGTGGGCATCAGGTTGGGGAAGGTTGTCCTAAAAGCCTAGTGAAACATCTTTGCAAATATATAGCACCTAAAGCAAATATATTCAACTGAGCCGTTCTACCTTGTGGTGAAGGGAGAGGTTCTATGGGGAGAGGGGCAGTCCTTTCCTGGAGGGGAGAGGAGGATTTTGTTTCCTGTCTAGTTAGAGATTTGGCACCTTTCAAAGGGGAATACCATCTGTTCCAATACAAACACCCCTTTCCCCCTTCACAGAAGAAACTGATTTCCCAATAAAGTGTCAAAAGATAACAAAGTCTGTTCCAACTAAGCTCATCTGTTTAGTGCCTGGGGGAGCCCTTGGCTGATAAGGCATTGGCTGTTCCTGCAAGGAGGGGCCCCTGTTTAGTCAGCTATTCACAATTTGCTACAAGTCAGAGCTGCTATTGGCTGTCTGGCTCTCATTTATACAGAAATGCTATAGGAGTTAAAAACAAAAGTGGTTTACAAATGCCTGGCTTTTTTTTTTTGTACCCTGGAAGTTATACCTATTTTATCCCACAAGCTTGGAAGTCTAGGATATGGAACCTGCAGTCCTCCAAATGCTGTTGGACTCCAACTCCCATCAGCCCCAGCCAGCATGGCCAAGACTCAGGGATGGTGGATGATGGGAGTTGTAGTCCAACAACATCTGGGCAGCTGCAGGTTCTCCACCTTGATACAAGCTCGGTATCTTCTTTTAAAAAGGGCTAACTCCTCACATACATAGCTGTTGCCAGACAAGGTAACTCTATCCTAAAAGCTGTCTATCAAGAGCTCCACACAAATCTCACGAAAACTTCTTAGCTGCTGCCAAGAAAAGCGGCTCCTCCTCCTCCTCCTTTGCAGCTCTCCAGCGATGAAACAGCTTGCTAGGTTCATGCTTTCAAGATGTATTAGCTGTTCTAATGAACTCGGGGAACTCTGTGTATTTTTGTCTTAAAATGCGCACACATTCTTGCAGCTAGGAGCCGCAGGATAACCATATGGCTAAAACATTTCTGACAAATTAAGATCAAGTTTCTGTTCAGTCAGGATTTATTTATACTTGATGTTAATTAGGATATGGACTGCTGCTGCGGGTGGTGGAACTACCAAGAGATCTTCTCCTGCCAACCTTAATATCCAAGAGGGTCTGCAGGGAAGGAGATGGCTTCGTTCAGATATTACAGCCTTGCACCAACATGAAGAAGAGCATAAGAAGAGTTTACTGGATCAGGCCAATGGGCCGCCTGAACCAGCATCCTGTTCCCTCCACATCCTTGTGGGAAACCTGCAAGCACTGGTCAATTCAGAGGCATTACTTCCTCTGACCGCTGAGGCAGAGCCGAGCCATCATTGGCAGCGACAACTGACAGCCTTATCCTCCATAGAGTTGTTCAGTCCTCTTTTAAAGCCATCCAAGTTGGTCACCCTCAGTGCCTCCAGTGGCAGTGAGTTCCACAGTTTAACTATGTGCTACTTTCTTTAATGATGTTCAGTTGCTCCAGCGGCCCTCTAAACACCACCTTAAAGATTGCTTCTCTTTCCTCTGCCGCTGGAAGGAACGCAGGGCAAGCTGACCGCGGGTGACCAGAATAAAAGAGCTGGGCACTGCGTTGCTCAGTAGCCGTGGAGGATGGGCTGTTATTGAGTGAATGGGACTGTGCCCAGCTGACATCAGTCTGTCCCCAGGCAGCCAACATCCCACCTTCCTAGTGATACCTGGTCCAGAGGGTGGTCCTGGCTGTCAGCATCCTCTGTCTTATTTCTTGGTGTTGCCCTTCTGGAACTCAGCAGGAAAGAAGATGGGGTCAAGGCTCTTAATCTCAGGGTTTGGGGTTCAAGCCCTGCATTGGGCAAAAAGATGTCTGTATTGCAGGAAGTTTAGACTCGATGGTCCTTGTGCTCCCTTCCGACTCTGCAATTCTGTGATTCTGTGACTTCAAGTTCTCCTCCTCCACAGTGGACCTTTCCACCCAAGGAGACTCCTGGCAATAGGGTCAGAAGGCCACTCCTGCAGAACTCTGTGCTTCCCATTGGGTCTGCTGCCACTGTCGCCTTTGAGGCCTGGGTGGTGAAGGGGAAGAGTTGGGAATCAAGGCTGTGCTCAGATGAGTCACTGCGGTGTTCAGACATACCATCCATGCGCAGAGGCACTCCGGGCTACCTTGAGATGTTGGTTGGTTCTTGGAGATCAGCCTTTGTCAACCATATAGGAGCAAACGCCTAGGGGTCTTCACTCCCATAATAAAATACTTGAGGGGGATGGAGGGGCCCCCCAATGTTGATGGACATTGCTATTCAAATGGTATATGAGCACCACATCATGATCAATTATGCAGGGTGGGGCTTACTTGGGCCTCAAATATTTTAGTCAAGTTAGCACTCCTAGTTAACCTAGTGCCCTCTGGACATTTTGGACTACAGCTCCCATCAGCCTCAGCCAGCACGGGATGGGAACTGTAGTTCTTGGAGGGTACCAATCTGGAGATGGCTGTTCTGGGTCCTCCAGTTGTGTCAAATGTCTCTGTGGGGTCCCCTATCACTGCCTCCAAAGAAAACTGCCCAGGGTCTGAGATGGGCAGGATCCTGGCACAGACTGGGAACCATCGGTGGTGCTTGATGCAGAACTGGGACTGTGTTTCTGGTACTCCCTTGCACCAACAGCAGAGAGCGCTCTACATGTTTCTTTTGCCCCACTGCCCCACTGCCCCCAGAAGACAGATGAGGCCCATTCCGTCTGAACGCTTGTTCCAGTCCTCCTCTAAAATTAATTAAGTCCAGAGATCAGGCGGCCGGGAAGGGCTGATGAAGCTGTGAAATTTTCAGTTGAAACCATCTTTCAACTCCTGCCAAGGCCTTGTGTGGGAGCTGGAAATGATTTAGAAAGGTTGAGAGGAGGCCAAACAGCCAGTAATTGAATAATCCAGCCCAGATAGGAAACCAAAGCAGAAGCAAAGGGGGCTTTTGCATCCTGACAAGTTAGCACTGGTTCAGAAGCCTGGAAATAAATACTAAAATAACAGGGTTATTCCTCAAGACAGAATGAGCACGTCTCTCAGTTGTCATCCTGAATGGAAGATAATTGCCTCGATGCCTGACTCACTCCCAGGACCAAATATGCAGCCGTGTAACCTGCTGTCACACATTTCTTCACTGGCCGGCAATTCCTTTGATAAATAAAGCAGTTGCCTTGAATTTGCCAAAGCAAATATCCACACAAAGGCATCATATTGCAAATGCAAATTCTGGAGGTACCTGGTGATGCAGCACAGAGGGACACGGAGCGGGGGCTGCGGGGAAGAGAGCTCCAAGACTTTTGCTCCAGAAACCCACAACCAGGAAGCTGAGAACAAACCTTAGCTGCACGTTGCGTTTTGTTGCCAGTGAAAACCCCACAATCCCATTTTTCGGGCATAATGCTAAATCAGGATTCGGTGTTTTCTTCCCTCCAGACTGGAAAGACGCAATCACAACAAACCATTACCTGTGATTTACTGCAGGGCTGAGGCACAGACAGGTGAGGCTTTTTTGGCTGGTGGGCAGGGTCACATGCTACAAGTCACATGGTTCAAGTCCCCACTTGAGTCTTCCTTTGCAGCCCTCCAGTGGCAGACTTGGGGCTTTCAAATATCAGTGGCCCGCTGTGTGACACCAAAATCCAGCAACTTCCCTCCTCTCGCCTTCTTTTCTGCATTATTGTTGAGGTGCCCTCTCAGCTCAGCTCCCCTAAATCGGCCGCTGAGCCTGGCTTGCATTCCAGCTACAGTGCCAAAGATTCCTGCCCCACTTTTGACAGGGATCAGCTCTGCTTCAGTCAGGCTTGCGATCAGCAGGGATTGGGCCCACTCAGCTCTGATTAGGAACTTCCAAGCAGAACCGTTACAATTTTTAATAATAAAAATTTTATTATTTATATGCCGCCCATCTTGACTGGGTTGCCCCAGCCATTCTGGCAGTTCCCAGCAAAACATTAAAAACACAAAATTCCCAGCAGGGCTCACATTTGCCACCAGATTCATTATTTTATTTATTAAATTTGTATACCGCCTTTCGTCCGAAGATCACAGGGCAGTTCACAACATTTAAAGGGCAGCAGGCACAAAACCCACTTGTGGAAGAACAATCAGGAACACCATGGTTCCCCTGCAGCCACAGCTTTACCTGCCCCACACTTGACATCAGGTGGGGGCAGGGGTGCCAACTTGAATAAAATATTGGGGGGGGGGTCTGGTAAGCCCTACCCCACATAATCTATCACAAACCATTTGAACGGCAATGCCCATTTATTTTGGGGGGTGACGGCCCCTCAAATATTTTATTGGGGGGGGCGCGAAGGGATCTCAGCTCCTAGGAATTGGCTCCTATGGGTGGGTGGGGGTGGCTGTGGCAGGGGTGTGGGGTGGGAATGGCAGACGAAATCTGGCCGCAAACTGGAGGCTCCCTTCTGTGAAGTGTGAACAAGGCCAGGAAGCCTTGATGAGGTTTTGAACCTTAAATCTCCCTAGGCCAGGCCTGATACTTTAGCCACTACCCCACAAGCTCCTTTTAGTATCCACCTTTCCCCACCTTTTACTCTTAGAATCGTCATTAGGTAGCTGAGGTGGGTGTTAAGTTGTGGGTGAACATATCAGACAACACAGTGATTCTTCAGACAGTTCTTGTTTATTCACAGGCCAGAACAGAACTGAACTGAAGGGTTCAGCCAACCTGCTTATATAGAGCTCAACTACAAAGCAACAGTAACAACTTTCTGTAACTATCCAATCACTGAACGTCACTTTCAATTCCTTATTTGCATATGCAGACCTGAGTGAAAACTATTTACAGTATCCCCCTGCTGGCCCAGGGTGAGAACTTCAGTACATAACAGTGGGTTTGTTTGTTTTTTTAAAGGAAGGTCACATTCTTCAGTACTTTTCAGGCTCTGCAGAACTCTGTGATTCCAAAATGGCAAACTGATGGTCCAAAATATGAAACTCGGCACCAGTGGCAACACAGTACAGACGTTCACACATACACTGCAGATCCTCAGCCCCGAAATAACATATTTTACAGATAGATTATACCCGATTCACAGTGCAATCCTAGACACAGTTCAGTTGGTGGGTGTATGACTGCATCCCAAAGCAGTGTTTCTCATCACCTGCAACCAAATTCTATCCCTTTATCACAGATGCTGGTTGCCCACCTTAATATTTGAGAGAGGCTATTAATTTTACCTTTCTCGTTCTTTCCTGGACTGGATTCAGCCACTCCTGTGTGGAAAGCCTAACAACTGCCTTCCAATGTGCAGCATCCCCAAGGGGAAGCTTGACTGTCATTACGGATATTTCCCTGCAATGTTGCAGTCTGCAGACAGCGTTGGGCACCTTCTAGGGAGCCCTTGCAGATTCCGCAACTGGCTACCATCCCCTTGCATGAACTGAAAGTGAATACACAGAACTGGCTGCAACCTGCGGACCTTCCACTCCAGATAAACGCAGGTGCCTTGGCAAAGGAATCGGCTCCTCTGGTTCACGGCACACTGCTCCAACCTGTGTGTTCCTTGGCTGGTCTTTTTTTTTTTTTTAAATAGTTTTTACTGGTTTTTCAATATATACATCCTTTATGAAATATCTCTCTAACAATTTTCCATTTTTTCCTGCCCCCCTACCCTGGACTTCCCTCATACTTCCACTTTGTTTTACTTTCAATTTATTCATCTTGCATATTATTTCCCCAATTAATTCCTAATACATTTACATCTATTATTATTATATTATTATTTACATTTGTGAATGTTTACTCAAACCCTGCCAATGGGTCCAGCTCTTCATGTTGTCTCTTCATATATATTTTAAATGGTTCCCATTCTCTTTTAAAGTCTTTGTTGTCCCTTTCATGTAATCTATCTGTTATTTTTGCTAATTCTGCATATTCCATGAGTTTCTCTTGCCATTGTTCTTTCATTGGGGTTCCTTCTGTCTTCCAAGCTTGTGCTGGTATAATTCTTGCCACTGTTGTTGCATACATAAATAATTTCCAGTTGTCTTTTCTTATTTCTTGATCTAAAATCCTTAGGAGGAATGCTTCTGGTTCCTTAACGTAAGTCTTTTCAAACTTTTTTTTTCAATTCATTATATATCATTTCCCAATAATTTCTGACCTTTTTAAATTCCCACCACATATGATAAAATGTACCATCTTTTTCTTTACATCTCCAACAAGTTTTTGATCCTGTCTTATACATTTTAGCCACTTCCACTGGTGTAATGTACCATCTATACATCATTTTCATATAATTCTCTTTCAATAAAATACAGTCTGTAAATTTTAAATTTGCTTTCCACATCCTTTCCCAATCTTCAAATTGTATATCATGACCTAAATCTTCAGCCCACTTCCTTGGCTGGTCTTAAGCACTTTTGTTGCTGCTCAGCACTGAATGCTCCTTTCGGTGGAACATTTTTAGTCTAAGGAAAAAGCTGGATCAATTCTATGCCGTGGCATTTGTCAGTAAATCAGTACGATGCCCACCTTCATTAGGCAGCCTTGCAGGCTGACATCTGACATGCAAAGCAGGGCTGTTAACAATAAGATTACACAGAACCACAGCCCTCTTGTTGAGCACAAGGCGGAAATCTGGCTAGTCTGGATTCTGTAAAGGTCTTAGCAACCATAGCCAATCCCAAGTCATCCAAAAGGCCAATGAGTTAAAACAACTTGGGTCTCGTGCAAATTAACCATTATGCTATGGAGAAGGCATCCAAGCCTGCAATGAGGGGATGTGGCTATGGGGTAAAATAGCAGTGGGGACCCTCTGTCCCATGGGGGCCTAACTAGGCTTAGTAGGGGTCCTAATTTGGCCCATATGCCCGTTTCCCCCAAACCAGGTCCACCTGACTTTCCCCTGACATCATATATGACTTCAGGTGTGGACAGGTAAACAAACAAGATGGTTCCTTGACAAGCAGGGCTCCCTCTCAGCTGATTACCACGGACACAGAGCCCCACTTGGATCAGCACCACAGGATCCTGCCAGGATCTGTCAGAGGGGAAAGAGAAATGGGAGGAGATCTTACGTGCCTAGACTCTGTTGGCAGCTTAGGATGTAACATAGACTTGAGGGTGGAGCCAGCAAGTGGGATCCTGTTTCCTCCCTTCCCCATCCATGAAGTGCCTTTGCTCATGAATATTTCTCTGGGTGGCACTGTTTTTTCTTTACTTTAAGTTATTTCACTGAATGGATTGTTATTGATTGCTTTGGCCACACCCAACATTGGAATGCCGCCTAATGGAGAATTAAATAGCAATGAAAAAGAACCAACTGGACACAATAATCTTTTCAAAAGCATCGTCTTGGGAATTTTACAGCATTTCCCTTCCCACCAGTTCCATCTGCAGCAGACCAGTGTGTGTCAAAAGGAGATGGTGAAATTTCCGTGGGGTGGTGGCATAGGAAACACTGTACACTGAAATACACTCCAGAGTAGAGTCCGGAAATTAACTGGAGAACAAGAGTACTGCTGCAACCTGCTTTCAACCACAGCAGGGAAACACCTCTGTTTCTTGTGTAGATCTCATTCTGGGTGGGAGAACGATGGCTGCTACAGCTCTTGGTCCCTTTAAATCCATGTGCATCTGTAAGCCACGTCAATTGCCACCTTGTTTCCTTCTGCTACTTTTCAGGAAACACAAGGTGGTCTGTCTCTCAAAACTGCCGCGCTTGCATCACCCAAACCAGACTTTTGTCAAGGGATCCGGGGACTGACGAGCGGCGGCTTTTGCAGCCACCGACACTCATAAGGGAGGATTTAATTCAATATGTTGCTGAAACTACTTCGTGTCAGGTTATCCGTCTCAGGGGGGAACGCACGTTTCTTATAGCTCATTGTGCCATCTGTTAAAAGACACAGCCACTTGTCTCTCTGCTCGGCGACCACAGATGGAGAGTTTTCCCCTCCTGCGTGCAACTGTCAATAGATGACAAAGCCTTGTTGTTTTGGAGCCAGGAGGAATTGCAGAGGAGGACGAGAGGGCAACATGGGTGCTCCTGAATGGACCGACTCCCTGCATAGAGGTATTAGGTTATGCAGAATGCGCTGTGCCAGCCAGCAAGGACAAGTTCTAGAAGGATTTCAATATCTTCAAGCTGGTTTGATATTAAGAGCTGTTTATAACTGAAGTATCAAATAAAGAAACATGGGGAACGTTAACTGTGTTCAATGGCCCTGGCTCCCAGAGAAATAAATATAGGATTGCAGCCTTATTTGCACAAATAAAAGGGTCAATATGAACGTATCATTTACTTTTGGTAGTAGTATTAAACTTGCATGCTTTATTTATCAGCAATGCTTTCCTTATAACTACTAAGACCCAGGCTGGTCATGCAAAATAAATCCTAGGAACAGATCTGCATATTCAGAGAACTCCTATGGTACAGTGTCCCAGCAACGGAGACATTGCAGGTTGAAGGTGGGTGACTGACTTTATTCTTGAATGCTTCCCTGCATCAAAATCTCCCTGCCCATGGAAAACCAGCAGGCCAGGGAAGGGAGTCCATCTTAGCCATGTTTTCTATGTGTGGGGGTTTTAAAACGAGGGAGCTCTCAAGCATGCAACCTCTTGCCTACAGCATATTAGACTAGAAGACGGTGTTTGATTGGCCCTTTGAAAAATATCTTTGGATTTACAATCATACCTCAATTCAGGTGGGGGGTTATTGGGTTGTTTTTATTCTGATTATGTATTTTGTGGTTTTATATTTTGATTTTATTCTGTGAACCGCCCTGAGACCTCCCGGTATAGGGCGGTATATAAATTCAATAAATAATAATAATAATAATAATGGTGTGTGATGCGCCTCCACGTGTGAATCAACTGCAAGGGCCACTCTTAAGGCATCTCTGCAGCATTGGTGGTGCTTCTCCGCGGTGCATCTCACGCCACTGCCCTGGAAATGCACGCAGCAGGGGATTATGTGGGAAGAGTAGGTGAGACGGCAGCAAAATAAACAACCAAATTCTGCACCCCTAAACAGGGTCTTTCTCATTATGTTGCTGGAGCACTGGGAGAAGCAGCCGCATGAAAACCAAAGGGTGGGACCCTAAACATGGAGTGGTGTTCAGCATTTTACTCAGCTTTAGCTAAGTTTTACTCAGTGTGTTGTTGTTTAGTCGTTTAGTTGTATCCGACTCTTTGTGACCCCATGGACCAGAGCACGCCAGGCACTCCTGTCTTCCACTGCCTCCCTCACTTTGGTCAGACTCATGTTTGTAGCTTTGAGAACACTGTCCAGCCATCTCGTCCTCTGTCTTCCCCTTCTCCTTGTGCCCTCCATCTTTCCCAACATCAGGGTCTTTTCCAGGGAGTCTTCTCTTCTCATGAGGTGGCCAAAGTATTGGAGCCACAGCTTCATGATCTGTCCTTGCAGTGAGCACTCAGGGCTGATTTCCTTCAGAATGGAGAGGTTTGATCTTCTTGCAGTCCATGGGACTCTCAAGAGTCTCCTCCAACACCATAATTCAAAAGCATCAATTCTTTGGCGATCAGCCTTCTCAGTGTAGGCTCAGCCTTACTCAGTGTAGACTCATTGAAATGAATGAACATTATGTCCATTAATCTCAGTGGGTCTAATATGAGTAAAACTTAATTGAATAACACTGCCCATGGGGTTGCATCCAACTGAGAATGTAAGAGAGCTTGCTGGATTGGGCCAGTGGCCCATCTCGTCCAGCCTCCTTTTCTCACGGGGGCCAATCAGATTCCTGCAAGTAGGATTTGAGCACATGAGTGCTCTCCTGCTGTGGTTTCCAGCAGCTGGTTTTCAGAAGCATTGCAGGCAGAGCCATCAACGAAGACATACTCAGTGTAGACTATTCAAAATCAACAGAAGCATTATTTGTATTATTGCTTATTTGATTTATGGATCGCTTCCCATAAAGCAGCTCAGAGCACTGTCACAATACAATAAAACCAAACAGAAAACAATTGCACGCATAAAAACAGTCAAAACAATGAAATATATAAAAACAATTTCAAATCCAATACGTAGTCATTGATTTAAATGAGCCTGCTGCAAGTAAGTTGGATCCAGCCCACAGTCTCCCATTATGCTGCTGGTGCAAAATGGGAAGCAACCACACATAAATAGCTGTCCTATTGCTGAGAGCTGGCCATGAGCTAATACGCAAAGGTGAGAGCTTTGGGGGATTAGCAGTAACTGACCTAATTCCAGGAAACCATGGCACTTGCGATGTGCTAAGTCAATGAGGCACATGAGGAAATACCCAGCTGGGTTACTAACCTCCACAGAACAGCTCTGGGTCTCGCTGTCCTCTAGCGGTGTCGCTGAACAGAACAAGCAGCAGCGGCGGTAGCAGGAGCAACAGCGTCACTGGAGACACAGCCATTCCTCAGGCACCCAATCTGAGGGGATAGACAGGGCATTAGCAAAACACAAATGTGCTTTTTATAGGTGGCCATTTATAGCCCCAATCCTGGCACACTCAGACAGGGTTAAATAACAACCGTGGGTATTAGGGATGGGGAGAAATTTCACTGCCAGCCGATCTGATTTGCACTTTGCAAAACGGCATGCCGACTAGAGTTCAAAATCTGCAACCTTCTGAATTTTGCGAAGCAGTTCTCCAATCAAATAATGTGTGCATTAGGAGAAGGCTAATTTAGTGGAAGCCTATATAAATAAGTTGCAATTCCATACCATTTTAAAACACAAAATGATCAAGGAGGTGGAGCAGATCCCCTATGGTTATAACACTATAACTCACCTTTTTTTCAAATTAAAAAAGTGAGTGTTGTGTGCATGACTTTGCCTACTCTCCTTTTTTATACCCCAGAGGTGTGTAAAATTTTGCACTGTGTGGGGAAAGGGCCAGAGCTCAGTGAGGGAGCATCAGCCTTGCACCCAGAAAGCCCCAAGGCCAACCCCCGACATCTCCAGATAGGACTGGGAAAAACTCCCTGTCTGAAACCCTAGAAAGCCACTGCCAAACCGTGTTGTCATTACTGAGCTGGATGGACCAATAGTCCAGGCCGCTCCCCATGTGCCTAAATTATTCCTTTCTTTTCTCATAACCCTAGAACTTCAGGCCATTCAATGAAGCTCAGTGGTAGGAGATTTAGGACAATGAAGCATGCAGTTAAACTTTGGAACTCACTACCACAAGGTGTAGCGATGGGTGCCAACTTGGATTGGAGAAATCCATGGAAGATAAGGCTAGATCAATGACTGCTAGCCATAATAGCTACGGTCTGCCTCCATGGTCAGAGGCCTCTTTATACGAGTTGCTAGGAATCATAAATTGCACTCAGGCCCTGCTAATGGACTTCCAACAGGAACCTTGCTGGCCACTCAGGGTTCTGGTTTGATCCAGTTGGCCTCTTCTAATAGTGTCATGTTCTTATCACAAACATTGAAATGGGTTTTCAAAGCAGCTAGCCGTTGAGAAGTGCTCTCGTGTTAGATGAATTTCCAGGACATTATCCTTCTGTCACATTCTTTAACCACAGTGCAAAAAAAGTCTGCCCATCTTTCCGTATCACTATGCAATGTATTGTAAGATGCACCTGTAACAAGATGTGTTGTACCTAATCGATCTGTCACGTTGCCATGATCTATTTCCCTCTGTCTGAGAGATTTCTCTGTATCAGTGCCGTGCTTCTGTTACAGCAACAAACACATCCTTATTTGATATTTAAATGCCCCCTGGACTGCACCTGGAACTCTCCTTTTGCTGAAGAGAACTAAGCACACCGTTTCAGCCTTGCCACAGCTTGTTTGAGCCTCAGTGCCAGAAACTGAATAGTGGGCTAGGTAGGCTTTTGATCCAATCCAGCAGGGCTCTTCTTAAGTTCACATGTTGGGAGTTCTGAGTTGGATGTTCCTTACAACATCTACCAACAAGGACTTAAATCTAAGCTGTCTTTCAAGCTTTGAGAGCTGAGCTTGCTGCATCACACAGCAAAGCAACGTTTTTCCTGCTTAGCTCCATACAAACAACCTGAGCTGTAGTGCAAAGGGCTAATGGATTTGCAAAGGACCTGAACTATGTACCAAACTGTTCTGCAAGCTCAGCTCTTGAACTGCTTTGATTAACATTGTTTTTTCTATATATAAAAAAATCAAAACAAGGCAAAACCAAAGGCAAAGTGGGAGGCATCAGAGCTGAAAACAGGAGATAAATGAGTTCAATCAGTAAACTTTCGGAAAGTGTGAGAGTTGGCAGATCTGTATTTTTTGCCACCTATGGTGAGGGCAGAGAAAGCCATCCTGCACTGTTGTGTTGCAAGCCTTTGGTACTGAAAAAGTTCCCTATTCCCCAGATGATCAAAACTAGTTCCTTTTAACTTTTTGCATGTTTGTAAAATGTTATTTGAATCTCAAGTAAGCCCCATCCGCTCTTGGGGGCTTTCCAAACTGAGTCAGATTCAAACTCCAGGATACCTTGGCAGCTGTTCTCCCCTTCCCCTTTCTAAATTTCATTGCTGGAACCAGTTTCTCTACTGTGTATAAACCAAAGAATAGCAACTCTGCAAAGCCAATGAGGCATGGACCCATTTGTGGGGTTGCCTGCATGCTGGTCTCAGCCAAGTTTCCAAACAAACAGATTGCTTCCTCAGCAGACAAGGAGCAATTCCCACCCAAACTAGTCAGCAATAATCCAGTGTCACCTGCTACCTTTACAGAGTCAGTAATGTGGTCATTGCGGGACGGGGGAACTCACCCTGCACCCGAGGTTTATGATAACTACTGCTTCATCAGCTGCAGGTGCTCTTGGAGGAAAGTGATTATTGGGACCCATTCCAGACTGGATGCTGGTTCAGGTTTGGGATGTAATCAGCCTTGGATGCCCCAATGGATTACTTTTCTTGGGAGAGGGACAGAGGGAGTGCAACTGTGTTGATTCTGCTTAATCTCTTAACTCTTAGCAACTCTCCTTGTCCTTATAACCATGTCCTAAAGCCTTTCTCGTATGGAGTTCTAAGTTAGTAGTCCTGACTAGCAGCTCCAAAGTACAGTGGTACCTCAGGTTACATACGCTTCAGGTTACATACGCTTCAGGTTACAGACTCCGCTAACCCAGAAATAGTGCTTCAGGTTAAGAACTTTGCTTCAGGATGAGAACAGAAATTGTGCTCCGGCGGCACGGCAGCAGCAGGAGGCCCCATTAGCTAAAGTGGTGCTTCAGGTTAAGAACAGTTTCAGGTTAAGGACGGACCTCCGGAATGAATTAAGTACTTAACCCGAGGTACCACTGTATCTTTATTCCAGTTATTTGGAACAAATCCAAGCCATGCCTTAGCTTCAGCACCGTTGGTTGAAAGTCCTCAATGGACAGCTCCTTGTTCTTTTCTAGATATGAAGAGACCTCAGCTGGTCTGTGCAGCCACCAGCAGAAACAGTGGGTTCTCTGTGTGGCCTTGCTCCTTTGTAAAAGCCTCATTCCCTTCCTGCACAGCAATGAGTATAGTTTCACTCTCCTTCTGGGTCCCAGGTAGTTCATCACAGTTCACCTTTTCCCTTGGAGAAGAATCCTTCTTCCCTGGATGGTGCTCACCTGCCTTTATCAGGGGTCCTGCTGCCTCCCTTCTCTGAATGAGTGGAGCTGGATGATAACGCAATACTATTTCAAAAGACTTAAAGTGGCGACTCTTCCACCAGGCCAATAACTGAAGAGGTCTCTCTTTGCCATAGGCAGCCTTTGGCAACTGAGTTCTGAAAGATTTCCACTGTTTCCCTCTCTCTCTCGAGTTCTGATTTGTCTTTTGTGTTGACTGGATATGAACCACTGAATCAGGGGGTGGGAACCTGTGGCCCTGCAAATGCTGTTGGACTTCAGCTTTCATCCATCCCTGACCTTTAGCTCTGCTGGCAAACCCCAACATCTGGAGGGCCACACCCCTTCCTTGAACAGATCCACCTCCCTCTCATTGCACTAATACATTCCACGGTCAACACACAGACAAAAACACGATAGAACTGCATATGTAGTGGATGAAGAACAACAACACATATTGATGAGCCACTTACGGAAAGTTTCTGCTTGACATAACTTGAAAGTGTGTGGTGTGTTATGGGACCTCTTCACTCACTCTGTAGCATGTGTGTGTGTGTACATGCAACACTTCCGCACTGCATCAGCATAATCTAACAGATGACTAGAGCCCTCATAATGAACAGTATGGACCATATTGGCAAGGGGGGGAAGAGTAGGTATTAAACTTGGTCCAGAAAAATCCTTGCCATCTATTGACACTGCCTGGGCAGATAACAACGAGCACCCATTGAGGACGGCAGTGGTGGCTGGGGCCCATTGAGACTGGTAGGATGGAAGGCAAGGAAGACACAGGAGGTGGAGCGAGAGCCAATGACAGAGGGAGCCAACTAATTCTCATTGTACCCCCTTCCCTGCTGAGTTCTGTAAGATCAACATCAAGATTAAAGACAAGCAAGGTAATAGGCTTCACCACCCCTTGGGTGCCTTGTGAGTAAGGAGGCGGGAAGGTGAGTACAAACTGAAGGTTCACCTTCAGTAAAGGTAAAGGGACCCCTGACCATTAGGTCCAGTCGTGACAGACTCTGGGGTTGTGGCGTACATCTTGCTTTATTGGCCGAGGGAGCCAGTGTACAGCTTCCGGGTCATGTGGCCAGCATGACTAAGCCGCTTCTGGCGAACCAGAGCAGCACACGGAAATGCCGTTTACCTTCCCGCCGGAGCGGTACCTATTTATCTACTTGCACTTTGACGTGCTTTCGAACTGCTAGGTTGGCAGGAGCAGGGACCGAGCAACGGGCGCTCACCCCGTCATGGGGATTCGAACCGCCGACCTTCTGATCGGCAAGTCCTAGGCTCTGTGGTTTAACCCACAGCGCCACCCACGTCCCACAAACTGAAGTTGGTGGGGTCCAATTTTAGTATATGTGCTGCCAAAGCGAGCACAGGTTGCTGGGGCCAAGCCCCATTCACCCTAATGGAGCAGCCTCCACTGGAGAAAGGAGAGAGACTTTGTGATCACATAGCACCCCACTTTTCACTCTGCATTATGCTTCTTTGTGCTGGAGCCATCCATAATCTCATATAAAAAGAGGTGGGAAATAAATGCTCAACATTGTGCATGCAGCCCTTAAAATTTAGATTAGATTTTTCAGAGGCTGGTAAATGTTCCTATTCGAACATAGTTAGTAGAAATGAAAAACTGGGATATTTTTTGCCTAGCTTTTCATACTTCAGTCCAGGGACTGATGAACTTCTTAACTTATACACAATTTTATCTTCTAAGATGTGCTTTGCAAATGCACCTTTTAACTTTTTCTTATATAAAAAAAGTCCAAATGTTGCCTTGCCATTGAAATGCAAAACTAAGGTACATTTGGGGGGGGGGGGGTTGC